GAACTAAGTCCCTCACTGTGGGAAACATTCAAGACTCTGGACTTTGTATTCGGTCTGTAAATTTCCCCTTAAAACACTCTCACCCCTCACTCTCCATTTTGAATTAATTCTAGTGTACAAAATGTCTCTTACCCCCTCAACCAACATTTAGTCTCCCTGCCGGGAATTTGGTTTGCCTGTACAAATGGCCTCACCCCTTGCACTCATCTGGCTGTCTTCAGCCCTAACCCTGAACTCTGTGTCTTAACTCACGTTCTTCCCCAAGTGTACTGGTATTCTGGAGGAGGGATAGAGTATATGGGGCTACCCAATCTCACAAGAAAAAAAGAGGGCCCCAGTCCTAATTCCTGCCTTTTGGGATTATTAGTAGCTGGTTCCACAGCACTAGGAACCACAGCCCTCAATAGTGGGGGTCAAAATTACCAGATACTAAGCAAAGAAATAGACCAGGATCTGGGTGCACTTGAACACAATGTTCATTGCCTGGAGGAGTCTCTAGGCTCCCTGGCTGAGATGGTTCTTTAAACCAGCAAGGTCTAGACCTCCATTGTTAAGACAGGGAAGTCAATACCTGGCCCTTGGTGAATCTTTTTGCTTTTACACCAACCTTTCAGGACTTATTAGGGACAGTCTTGGCTCAGAAGGTGCCCAGCTGACAGAAACAATGAGAGACATTGTCAACAAAGTTGATGAAGATTTGTTCTCCACCACCCCATGGCTGACCACCCTACTGTTGGCTCTGGCAGGACCCCTGATTTTCCTCCTACTGGCCATTACTATTGGCCCCTACACGATAAACTGTTTAACATGTTACATCCAAAGCTGAATACAATCTATTAAAATTAATGGTTATACATTCCCAATACGAGGATCTACGAAATGTAAATAAAAGAGATGACTTTTAAAAGGATAACAGAAATCAAAGATTTGATTCATGCACCTTTGGTTTTACCAGTGGGGAATGTTGTGGCTTGGCATAACTGACACCATCTTGAGTCTTACATTTAACCAGTGCCTGTATTTGACTCAGAAAAAATGGAAAATTACTCAGGGTACAAGTCCATGAGAAAAGCATAATGAGTTGTATCTACAGGAGAAAAATCAACCTGCTCAACAAAAGCAGCAGGATACAGGTGTCAACTGAAAATTAATTAAAGATTTGAGCTAAATTGTTTCCAACAGGAAGTCTTTTGTGATTCTTTTAAAAACTCTTAACTTTCCAGAAAGGGCCACTTGTTTGGACCCTGAACCAGGGGGGTCTGTATATGAGTGGTCCTGAGCCAGTTAAATTCCAAATTTATCAATTTGGCTGCTTGGATTCCTACACTGTTGTTCATGAACCCTTCTCAGCCTACAAGGGCCTCTCCATGATCTGTTCCCAGTCCTCAAACCCTTGGCTCTGAGTGAGCTTTTATCTTTCAAACCACTAGGTCTCCCATGAAGCTTCCTTTCCAAACCCCTCAGCATAATGGGATGTTTTCTTCAGGGCAAAGTCTAGCAAAGTTTCCTTTTTCTACTTGGATCTTATAAATTGCAAGTTACTACTGATAATTCCCTTTTTCCTCTGATAATAAATTATCCAAGCACAGTAAAGAACCCACCTCCCTCCACTGACCTTCTGAGGTCTCTGGGCCTTCTTCAAACTGCCAGTAAATCACCCACCACGGGAACCCAAACAGAAGGACCTCAGGGGCCCTGAAAATCAACTGTTCTCCCTGGTATCAAGTTCCAGGCTGTGCTGTTCCCTGGACGATCCATCTTCAGCCCTCATCACCTCCCTACAAAGTAAGGAAGGCCTAGCGTTCCACTGGGGAGAAAAGGAGGTCAAATGGCTTGCTGCAGTTACCAGCAGGGGCACGCATGGCCCATAAAATGACAATAATGGGCACCATCTAACAATTAAAAACAAAAATGCCTCGACTCTTGAGTGTGGCCCAGTCCCATGGAGAACAAAGCCGTCCACTGGGTACAGTTCCGCTACTGGATGGGAAAAGAAAAACTGACCACACCTTGAATGCTGAAACCAAATCCCCAAGTGAGAGTGTAAGAGATGAACATGTAGTTATGTCTGGAGGCAGTTAGGTCTGGAGGACTCGGCCCTCATCAATAGTATTAGTGCATAGAGACCTCAGAGAGCTCATTTATCTGCTTCTACCACGTGAGGACACAGCAAGGCTCCATCTTTGAAGAACAGTGTAAACACCAGACTTATCTACTAATGCCTGGACCTTGAAATTTCCTCTCTCCAGAACTGTTGAGCGATTAGTGTCTGTTTGGAAATTACACAGGCTACAGTATCTTATTATCACAGCCTAAATAAATGCAGATAGCTAACTATGGTGGGAGGGCAGGACAGATATACTAGGATTTGGTAGCCTAATAAATCCGTGTCTCCCTTAATGGAGGTGACATTCTGAGACCACATCATAGGTGATTGCACATAGATGTCATGTGACGTCATCCCTATGCAAAAACCTCAGCGTATTTCTACAAACCTCAGTGGAATTAAGGATTTCCTTTGGCAATAATTTCCCTCCACAATCAGTTTCTCTTCCTTTTAAAAATTGAGTTGCCTTGACATCAGCACTGGCAGAGGCACACTTTCACAATGCTACAAGTAACAATTCATGAACTGTGCAAACCTACAGTTAGCAGGAAATGCAACATCCTAGTCTGTTCCAGCCTTTTCCCCCACAACACTGCAAATAAACTCTGCTTTAGTCACGATCTTCATGGTGCTGAAGACATATTTTGGTGTCTGGCCTTCCATTTAGGTTACTGTAAGTTTCTCCGTGTCTGATACGGATTCTTCCTGAATTTCTGTTGGCCTCACTGCTTTCTAGGTCGCAGATCCTTCACCAACTCCCGTCACATTATTAAGATTGGAGCTACGGGGAAAACAGCTGTGAGCAGTAGCCATCAGTGATTTGCCAGCTTCACAGTCCTTCACCACTTTCTAATTTCATTGCCTGGTCAATCACTTGATGTAGCTGCACATTGGCAATATGAGCAATGGATTTTGTATGTTTACATGTCCCGATGAACAAAATAAAAAGGACACAAAATCAAGCACAAGAGAAAATGATACATTCCAGACATCTGGTACACATGCTATATGCTGAGGAGAGTGTGGCTGGCCCCTGTGAGAGGTGTGGTCTGCCAAGTGGCAAGCCTGCCTTACAGTGTGTGATAGCGGGCGCCTCCTTGGGCACCATTCCCTTTTCCCATTTTCTCTACGGAAGAACAGCTCTGGGGGAAAATGGCACGTGGAGCACAGCTGAGGCCACAGTCACAGCCGGGATATGCTCCAGAATGGGCCCACTGTGCTGGCTCCCCACAAGTATCAATCCCGTTTATCATTTGAAGAACAAAGTCTTCTTAATACTTGGTTATGGCAAATAGGCAATTACACAAAATATAGGATGGGAACCAAATTTTGTTTTAAAGTGTGTTTTTGACACTTGAAGGATTTCATTCCAAACTCTCAATTATATAATTACAAAATAAAAATCCACATTTCAGGAAAACGTTCTTAAACCTAACATAAGATTCATGTCATTTATCACAAAGTTAGACAGTCAGGTATATAAAGCAGAAACAAAATGGAAGCAGTATTTACAAGTTTCGACTACATGAGACATTGTGAAGAATCTTTTGTTAATGGACAACACATTACATACTTTTACACACTACATTTTAAAAATAATGCAACTGTAAATAATCTGATGAAGGTCATAGTGTGAGGATATTAACTTACATTCAAAGTCACCACGCTGAAGACTTTAAATTCAAGGCTGTAGTGATGAAGACTTTAAATTCAAGGACAGACTAAGAAAGGACAAGGCAAGTTCAGTCAGTTCCCTGTGAGTACAAAATATTAGGACTCACGAAATGGATTAGCCGAATTACAAAGTGTGTTCATTTCTCAATAAGAAGTCTTTCCACAGAGCATTCAATCACACAGGTTTTCTATCCTTGTGTAGGTATTTCTGCTACATTTTAAGTCCTTATTCAAAACAAAGTTTCTCCCCATTTGTCTACTGTTAAGTAGAAAATATTTTTAAACAAGGAAACGTAACTAGAGAACAGTTTCTGCATTGACTTCTGGAGGGGGTGGGGGGGCGGATTCCTGTTTTCTCCTCTACCTCAAAGCTGCACAAAGCAAACCAAAACAATCCAATTCCTAGTGTAGTGTCGCAGGGCCCAGGGCCAGAGACAATATTTCATGCTAGTTCCCCGCTATATGCTGAGCACAGTGCAGTTATTTACATTATTAAGAAATCTACTAAACAGGCTAGCGCCATCCCAGCATTTCCCTCAGCAGAAGCCTGGCTAAAACAGGCGTGAGCAGCGGCGTCTGCGGATGGGGACGTCGAAGACTCTCCTCCGCCTCTCCTCCTCCTCCTCCTCCTCCTCCTCATCTGACTCATCCATGTCTGCTGAATCATCATCTTCTTCCTCCTCCTCCTCCTCTTCCTCGTCCATCTCTTCGTATCCATCAGGACCCATTTCCTTGAAAAAGAAAACAATCTTTTGATAAGAAGGATGCCATCAAGTAATTTGGCAGATTTTTGCTGATCTAGAATACCAACAACACGACAAGCTGTCTACCAGTTTTTATAGACATTTTAACAGTACAACTGCATACTGCACATGCTGGTGCAAGACACCGGAGTGTATACAGTATCAATAATGCTCAGTATGGTTCTAACAGTAAACATATTTCATTAGGACGCACTCAGTTTTCACATGGTGGTTGTTCATTCAAGGTAACAAATAAACTCCACTCCTCCTAAAGATCAAAGATAAAGTTTTGCTCAACTTACATCCCAATACATTAAATACATTTATTAACTTATCTGTTTACAGAAAAGAGGTAAAAGCATTAGGTAGGACCTCTACTGGTAACTTTTATGCACTGTCAACAAGAAATCTGAAAGCTTTTTATTAAAACTTCTACTACAAAGACATGTTTTAATTCAAACATCAGTAGCCTCAACTTTAAAACAAATTATTTTTATTATTTCAGTAGCTCAAACAACAGTCATTTATTATCTCTCCTGGTTCTTGTGGGTTGGGTATTTGGGAAGTTCTCAATGGGCCAGTTCCGGCTTGAGGTCTCTCATGTCGTTGTCAGATGGCTGGAACTGGCATCACCTCGAAGGGTTCTTCACTCATATGTCAGGTACCAGGGCTGGGATGATCCACCCATCTGGAGACTGAAACAGCTGGGGCTCCCGCGCGCCTCCTTTTCTTTCTACGGAGCATCTCTACATGGTCTCTCCAGCATGGCGGCTTCCTGGCAGCTGGACTTTTTACATGGGAAGTGGCTCAGGACGCCAAGGCACATTCCAGGAGAGCGAGCTAGGCTGAAGGTGCTGAAGGTGCACTGCCTTTTCCTAACTTAGCCTCAGAATCAGAGTCACTTAGCCAATTCACGAGTATCACTAATGTCAGCCCACACTGTATGAAAAGGGTAGTCTCTGTTTAAATTCACTTGTTGGAAGCTTTAGAAGAGGAAGCAGAAGTGTCTTGAACACAAGACATGAGTGTCTCCTAGAAACTTTAGTTCTGCTTAAACAGTCTCTAAGCAAGCCTTCCCTTAGACACCTGTCAATGTTCTCTCAAAGACTCCATGAGAAGAGCTGCTACACTGGACCTAGTTGGTAATCTGAGAAGCTCTGGGACACTTGGAGCATCTCATCGGCAAAAGCCCTCTGGCCAAGCTTTTATGAGGTCACATGACCCAGCACCCCACCATCCCTCCAATCTCATCTCCAGCTGCTCCCCTCACTGGCTGCACCCAGCTTCCTGTTTCAAACCAAACACATTCTAGCACTTGCTGCTTCCACTGAATACTCTTCTCCACGCATCCACCTGCTCCCCTCCAGTCCTTTTGCACCTTAGCTTACACAGCACTGAGGCCTCTTCTAACACATCTTCTCATCAGAACCCAGCAGGACACTGCTCTTCTCCCGTACTTTGATTTTTCTCCATAATACTTGTTACTGCTTGGCACGAGTATACAGTGTTTGCCATACTTTGTCTCGTTCAATTAAAGTCACAAGACACAGGTCTTGATTATATTGTTACAGTACTCAAATGTTTGTTGAAGGAACAGATAATGCAAGAGAATTTATTATAACACAAAAATGACAATCAGACTATACACAGGAATGACTTGTAAGATATCCCATTAATTGAATCTTTGGACATAAATATATTTTTTAATTTAAGGACTGCAGGCTTTAAGATTCTGTAAGAGGGCCAAAAGGTGGGAAGACAGACTTTGGAAATGCTAAAACATGATGTCCAGGTGGTATGATTATTAATTATTTAATGAAGAAAACTGTTGGAGGAATCAGTATGTCTAACAATAGGGGCACAGAGATAGAAGGTTACATACACTAACAGCAGATGGAAAGAGGAACATAGAACAAGAATGGAAATAAGCAAGCAGCTGGGAGCCTCGACGGGGCCCTCCAACAAGCACAATAAACCACCCAGAAAAAGCATTTGACTAACCAAAAAATGTATTTTGAAGTGGCGAAGTACAAAGAGAAAGGAAATACTGAAGTATACTAATCAGACTGGTAAAGGACAAAAAAGGAGAATGATTCAACTTCCACATCAAGAAAACTGATAAACACGCAACAAATTGACAAAGGCAATCCCTATTGCCTTCTTAATATTGATTATAAGTCCAGAATTTCCCATTTCTGTTTATTGATCTGTCATCGTGAGAGAAAACATTTTAAGGCAGGTCAAGATTTTATGTTTACTTGTGGTTAGGAGAAAACTAAACTAATAAATACATAATTAAGTGAGGGTTGAATATGTAACAGGTTTATTTACTGTAATTTTAAAAGGAATTGATAAGAATGTATTATACAACTTCTCAGTTTTAATTTCAAATATAGTAAATACTGATATAAGCCATGTAAAAAAATTCTTTGGATTCCTCAGTTAAGCATCCAAGGGGACCAGGAGACTGGAATGCTTGAGAACCACTGTCCTTAACTAAGGACTATTTTACACCTACCCTAATATGAAAAATAAGCCTCAAAAGGATCAAGCTGACCCAACAGGAGCTCCACTCCCTGCCTAAACAAACCCCAAGGCCTTTTAAGCTTTAAGACAAGGAATGTTATCAGAGATGAATAAAGAGATAATAGATAATAGATACAAGAACAACTTCATCAAAAAGACATAATAATCCTAAGCATATTTACACACAATTATAAAGCTTCAAAATATATGAGGCAAATCTGATGGAACTTAATCCAACAAAGCTGTAATTCTGGAAATTTCAACATCTTTTTTAGTAGTTGACAGAACGAAGACTGGAAAAAGTATAAATATACAGATGATTTGAAAAACACCATCAACCAACCAATCACTTTGACCTGTATTAATAGACTAATATTTCCCCAAATGTCACAATATACATTCTTTTTAAATACACAAAAATCATTTACCAAGATATGTAAATTCTTCACATGTTGAGCAATAAAACATATAAAAGTATTAAAAATACAGAGTAAATCTTTTAATCACAATAAAATTAGAAATCAATAACCAAAAGATAACTGAAAAGTTCCTAAATATTTGGAAATTAGTACATTTCTTAAAAAGTCATGGACCAAAGTTAAGTTACAAAGGAAATCTGAGACTATTTTGAACTAAATGTTAACAAAAACATATCAAAATTTGTGAACTACAGCTATAATAGTACTTAGAGATGAAAAGTCTAATAATGTCTACTTTATAAAGCTAGCAAAAGAACAAAATTAAACCCAAAGTAATTCCAAGACAAATAAAGACCACTGGAAAAAAATCAATGAAATGGAAAGCAAACAATAGAGAAAAATTAGTGAAATCCAAACCATTAAGTGATCAACAGAAGTGATAATAATCATGTGATGAACAGAGAAGATATGTCACCAATATTGAGAACAAAAGAGGACATGTGACTATAGCTTTTGTCGCCACTAAAAGGATATCAAGGGAATACTGTGAATAACTTTATGCCAATAAATTCAACATTTAGATGAAATGGACAAATTCCTTGAAAGGCACAAATTATCATAACTGAAACAAGAAGAAATAGAAAATATGAATATTAAAGAAATTATATATTTTAAATTTTTCCCACAAAAAAAATTCCAGTCCCAGACAGACATCTTTCTCGATGATCATCAATCAATCGAGGGTGACATGACACCGATCTCACATAGATGCTAGATTGGTCCATAACTGCAGTCTGTTACAGGAAGTAGTAAACTCCTAGGACTAGAAATACAATTTCCAACATTCCTCCATTGGGAAAGAGAGCTAAAACTTCACTCACAAAACCAGACTATAGGCCCTTTTCCTCATAAAACAGGTATAATGTTCTAAAGGCTCATCGTTATCCTTTCCACTCCAAATGGGACTTGAGAACGTGTCATCTCAGGGTAAGGTTAATGTCATGCCTCAGACTTATTTCAGACTCACCCACTAGGACCATTTCAAGAGTTAAAGGAGCATTTTTGGAATATTCAATGCCCACAGTTCAGTTGCACTTAGGATATACAATTCACATTTTATTTCCATTATGTAATTTGAAGCTTAATCATTTCTCTTAACCATTTCAATTCATAAGATTGGGGTTACTGTTATACCCGTCAAAAGTAATCCTAAAACAGGGTTTTAAAAATATACCTCATTGACTTGAGAAATCATCTCTGGAAGAGACTGTGAAAACTACAAGCCTACCATTAAATCCTCTTTGCAATGATCTTTATAGGATGCCTGTTTATTTTACTAAATAGGGAGTTTTAGCAAACAAAGTAGAAAATTGTTTACCTAGTCTTAATGAAATAAAGCCACTTCTAATGTGGCACATCTCAAATTTTAATATATCTAAGCCACAGAACTGGCTTTGGAAACAGTGGAAAAGTTGAATCTTTAAAACAGGTAATAGGCAAGTTTCTCCAGTTGAAGAGTAGGGAGCTTAGCAGACCTGTTGTTCACCTCTCCCAGCGTATTCACAGGATCCCCAAGGCACTGTCTTAGAATGTTCAGGGTTCTCTGGAATTCGTTTATAAATCACTTATCTGCCTAAACAAAAATGCTCTATAGAGTTAATTCTACAAAGTTACATAAATCAGCACTAAAGGAAAATTTAACTTACCAATCGGGCTATAGACACCCTGAATGTCGGACATGCCATATGGAATCGAGGAATTGCAACATTAAAGATCTTGTCTTTAAAGTAAAGAAAATGGAAGGTATAATATCCTTCCATGTATCCTGATGTTGTAGAGAATGTGGTACAGCTTGTATATTCATATACCCGACCTGGGCTGATGATTGGGAATTCACCTGCAGAGTAACCAATAACAATAAACCAAAGTATAAAAATCAGCTCATTACAGTAAATAAGATATGTTTTCTGTAACACTATGATACAAATTATGTAAAAGGAAATGTACAGTTAGAAAAGAGCCTAGAAGGAGATAAAACAAAATGTTAATGGTGATGGGATTATAAGCAACTACTTTATGCCTCGATATATTTTCTGATTTCTTAAATTCTCTACAAACCAGTGGGTAACATCTAGTAAAACAAAACAAAACAAAAACTACACATTTTTCCCAAAGAGCTTTCAGGCCTTAAATATAACAATCTTTAAGACATGAGTAATAAAGATGTCCCATACTTACCAGAAGCAAGAAACTAAAACATAAAGTCATGAAGATGCATGCTAAGAATTTGGACCAGACAAAATGCCAGTCACAGGGGAGATCTTCACACCAATGCACCAAATGACATCAGGAATTATGACTTTAATAAAATTCACTAGTTTTCAAGTAAATCTAAGACAAATTCATGCAGACTGTTAATCTATACATGGCAATAAATTAGAAAACTTTAAAGTGAATTCTGTAGATGCTTAGGACTGATAACAGAAGGACATGTTATTTTCCTGCAGCACATTTTCTCTGGTAGGTACCAGGAATCAAATCCAGGACCTCGCCCTTGCCAGGCAGGTGCTGCATCACCGAGCTATATCCTCAACCCCTGAAGCACATTTTCAACCCTAAAAAGGACAACAGTTCAGACTTAGGGTATATCCTACCTCTTTTTTAAAAAAATGCCAATGACAATTGGTCTTAAAGTAAACAAAATTGAAATAATAAAAATCTGTTATTTTAATTTGAAAATCTTTCCCCAAAATTAAGTCTGAATATGAAATTTATTTCTATCCTATCCATCTAACCCAGAATACAATAAGTTAACCAGTTTAAAAAAAAAAAAAAAAAGAACAAAAAAATAAGAAACTCCAGGTGGTCCATAGAAAGAGAAATCAGTACCTGAATAACTGAGTTTGCTGTAACTTATAGAAAAGTTAACATTTTAAGAGACAAAACTTATAGGCTAACGTTCTGTATACTTTCCATTTATGGATGTAAATTTTAAAAAATCTTTGAAGCGACTGATGTATAAACCTAAATGGTGAGTTACATACCAACGACTCCAGGTCCTTGAACTTCTTCTACATCTCCTTTAGCATTTGTTATTCTCCAGTAGCGACTGTCCAGCTGACAAGCCTTCTCAGGAAGTGCATCCTTTGACATTTCGATCCTGGAGAAAGGAGTGGTGTGGTAAAGACACAAATCTCCCCCATGTGCTTTGTTTTCTGAACTAGCATTAAACGAGGGAAATTCCCAAAGGAAATTTTAAAACCCCATCCAAGTCTGTTAGACAATTATTTTTCTAAGTTCTCCAAGATACTGTCTTAATTAGCCACAGAAATGCTTTCACTCAATTCACACAATTTCAGTGAGGAGCCACAATAGAAAGGGCAACATAAATATGTACAAAAACAATGGTGACAACAACCCTGCTTGATGAATGCTTCCTAGAATACAGTGCCATGACTTCTAAAGCACAACAAACTATGTGACCCAATTCTTTTTTCCATTAGCTTCTAAAAAGTTCAAAGCAAAACAATACAAGTTACTCCGTTTAACTTTGACAGCCATACTATAATTCCTCCTTTTCCCTCGGAGTTTGTCTCTTATTTTCCCTTTGTGTATCCTCTCCTAAAAGCACATGTGGGTGACTTTATTTTAACCATGCTACAATCCTAGGCAGGATATAAACTGAACGATTACACAACAAATGTTTTTACCTATATTTAGACATATCAAAGGCTATATACAATACCCAAATCTTACAATGCTTCCTTGGCAACTGTATTATTATTAAAATAATATAGAATGCAAGCACATTGTACACATATGCCATATTACAAAATATGTAAGTATGTATTTTAAGTATTTAATTCCTTGGAGCAATGAGTTGTTCTTATAGCGTAAAATAGTTCTAACTAAAGTGAATATGAAATACTTGTTTCTATTTAATCAAATCCAGTGCCTCACACCAGGCATGACATATATAAAGCACTTAGTGAACACTAGATTTTTAATTGAATATAGGTGGGTCAGGTACAATTTAAAATAACTTCACATTTGTCAATTTGAGTTTCTAAAGTACATTACAGCTGTAACACAGGTAGATCTTTGATGAATACAACTTCATGACCTACTTCCTACAGTACCCTGAACAATACTTTCTACCTAGTACATGTGCACCACATAGGTAACACAGAGATTAATAGAAAGTCCTTTATAACACTGTAATGTAGAAAAATGTACTTTCTTCCAAACTTCAGGAAGAACCCATCATTTAAAGTGCATTTTACTCAGTGGTTAGAGTGCTTCCCTGCATGCCTAAGGCCCTGGCTTTGATCTCTATCACTCCAAAACAAAACAAAAAATGGAAACAAACAAACAAAAAATCCTCCAAATGTATTTTATGTATGTCAACCAGCACAACAGCGTATCCACAGGCTACATCCCACTATAACTGAAAGGCGACTCCATTTAATGCTCTCACCTGATTCTGTATGTGAAGAAATAGTGGGGTGGGTGTACAGAGCTGAGTTCTGGCAGAAACGACGTAGAAACAGAAACTGTAATATCCCCAGTTGTTGCTACACACTCTGGGTCATGAACATATCTAGAAATTTTAAAAATTAAACATTTTAAAGGAATTTCAACTCTGTAAGACTAAAGGTTTAAAGATAAATGCACAATAGTTTCCTTACACTTTATAAGGCCAAAAATATAAATTATATTTAGGTATAGTCTTATTAAAGTTAGAAGAAAATTAGAAACAAAACCTTGGTTCAGTAATGACAATCAAGGATCAACAACAGTGGTTCAAATAATGCATTGCTAATTAGTTTTTAAAAGAGCTTATCTTAATTTTCATAGCTAAGAAAATTTTAGAGTCATCTGAAAACCCAACTACATCTGCTAGATGGTGGCTATGATAATAAAAAATATGTAAGTATACTGAGTCTCATGCCCTGCCTTTAACCTAAGCCCACAGTGTATACCTAATTACTTTATTATTTCTGCTACAAAGGCTACTCTGAACTAATACCACCTCTAATACTAATTACAACGCCTGAATGTTCCCTTTAAAGATAATATATAATATTTGGCAGGAGGTATAGTTTCTGCCTTGCTAGTCATACTAATTCTATTAATTACCAAATAGTCTTTAGATTTTTTTCAGAGAAACTACATAGCTGCTAACAAGCCACAGTGTCTGCTTTTAAAAATAAAGTTTTTTTCTCTTAATTGTTCAAAGAAAGAAAAGTACTCACTAAGAGTTTGAATGTCAGGGCTGGGGATTTAGCTCAGCGGCATAAGCGCCTGCCTTACAAGCAGGCAGTCATGAGTTTGATCCCCGGTACCAATTAAAAAAAAAAAAAGTTTGAATGTCTTACTTTTGCAGTGAAAATAAAAGAGTGAAATTTAAGATAATGAGCTGTTATTAACCATGGGAACTTCATTTCATGATCTGTGATGGATGTTTTTTCAATTTATAATCATTGTAATCCAAAAAGCCCCAAATGTAATACCTGAAAATTTGGTCTCTGATGATGGGGAAGCCACCTGATACAACATTCCTGACATAAGAGGTAAACCAGTCAGTAAAAGTAGCACCTGTGAACCAGGAAGGGGGAAAAAGAACAAATACTTTTGTGTTTTTTTAAATAAAATCTACATAGGAAATGAACAAACAATTATTATTTCTTTAAGCTGAAGAGGTAATATCAAACCTGCAAACATTTACGGATGTGACTCTATTAGTTCTCAATCCTGCTTGCTTTACTTCCTTCTAATTCTGCCTCTTCCCAACCTTTCTTAGAGACTCCTTTGGCAACCTTCAACATTTTTTTTTTTTCTTAAACAGTTACAACTACTGGTTCTGGTAAATAATGAAAAACTTCCTGTCCATAATTTCTAAAACAAACTAAACAAAGGAGATTTAGCTAAGTCAAGGAAGAAACTATAACATAACATAACATAACATAACATAACATAACATAACATAAAATGTCAGCATCCATTCTCAGACGATCAGATTCTGTAGGGACCTGCTGACTTATACACAAAATCCTGGCAGAAGCCAACCCAAGGCTGGGTATCTATAAGGGGCACAGCGATGTGGACTTCTGTGCTTCAGGCCAATCCCACAGTATTGCAGAGTGGCCCTCCATCTTCTCAGTCGGCTAAAGACAGAAACGAAAGCCCCATGCAGAGGGCACCTGCACGGCGCACTGACTGAATCAATGGCAGCTGCGCAGCGGGACGGTGCTCGCACCTCCTAGGCAGCACAGCAGTATGATCAGCCCGCCCTTGCCTTAACACAGCCAAAGGCCTTGCACATAGTGGTCTCTTAGTGTTCAACAAATTTCTCTTTGTATTCTGGTTCCAGCGAACCCAGTTCTGCACTCCGCCACACTAACTGCCAGATGATAAATTTATGGCATTTGCTAATTATGTTATTTAAGGACTGATAGAAGACATGCTTCGTTTTGTACTAAGTACAAAGCTGTAATATATTCAGAGCATCAACTGAGAGAAAGTAAACTATAATAGTGGGCTCCTTCCTCAGTGTTAATTAACGGCCTATTTTGACTCATTATTTGTTAAATGCACTCAAAGAACACCCATTTAATCCATTCTGAGTCAGGTATTAGGGAGCTATCTCAATAATACTAAAACTCAGAAAGCTCTTGGTTTAATCCAAAGCCACAAAAATAACTCATTTTCTAAATATTTCTTGAATGTAACTTTTTTCTTTTCTGATATTCCCATATTATATTTTTAATGTGTTTTTATTCTAGTTTATGTTTCACAACTAGTAATTGCTTTTTTGTTTTTTGAGACAAGTTTCATTACATAGTTCAGGCTGGCTTTGAGCTCACAGTGATCCTCCTGCCTCAGTCTCTCAAGTGCAAGGTGTGCATTAAAGAACTTTCAAAAATCATTTTGTATACTTCATAGAATATTATATATGAAATAAGTGAGTTGCATATAAAGAAACTGGCACGGTACACTTAGGTGTATCTTAATTTAGGATAACATGTACCAACATGTTCACCTTCATCTTTAAGGTGAACACAGAAGAGGTGCACTCACTAAGAAACCCACCTGCGAACAGATTTCAGTTCTCTTACGTACTAATAGTGCCCTGAACACCAGGAGATGTTATCTGGTGTGTTACCAGAAATCCTATGAAACTGAAACCTAACTAAATAAAACACAATTTGTATCTTAGGTGGGCCTGGTGTGGTGGCAAATGCCTGTAATTCCAGCATTCAGGAGGCTGAGACAGGAGGACCACTTTGAGTTCAAGGCCAATCCGGACTACAAAGTGAGCTTAAGGCCAGCCTGAACTGCATAATGAGACCCTGCCTCACAAGAACCTCCCCCCCCCCCACTCCATCTATCTATCTATCTACCTACCTACCTTAGGTAGTTTCCCAGTGAGCCCACGACTGGGAGTTTCTTAGACAGTACTGGTGCTTAGTAAGGAGGCTGCTTTCTCATCCTTCCCCCTGGCATGCACTCTGTACCACATCTACGCTCAGTGCATTCACAGCTCCTGCTCTGCCCTCTCCTCCCCAGCTTCTGGAACAGCACTGTCAGGCTTTGGCACTCTGAGGTAATGGTGGTATCTTCCACTATGGCAGACAAGCACCATACTAACGATAAGACCCAGAGCCCAACAGCATCTTCCCTAACTGCTTGGGCAGTCTTCAGTCCGTAAACTGAAGAGCACTTAAATTGTGATGGTCATCTCTCAAAGTGTTACGCAAAGATGCCAGTGAGAAAAAGGAGCATTGGCAGGAACTCCAGAGAGCGCTTAGCTTAGAAACTGCAGACCACAGAAGTCAATGACGTAGCCAAGACTGGTAGTGCATGCCTGTAATCCCAGCACTTGGGAAGCTGAGGCAGGAGGAACTTTGCAATTTTGAGACCAGCTACAAAGTGAGCTCAAGGCTAGCCTGAACTGCATAGTGAGACCCTGTCTCAAAAAGACAAAAAAAAAAAAAAAAAAAAAAAAAGAAAAAGTGAATCAGTTGAGAGCAAGGGCTTAAATTTAAAAACTTACGAGGTAGGAGTAAGATCTTACTGTTGCAAGGTATGCCACAAACTCGGGACTGTGTCATGGTAGGGAACAAATAAATTTTCTCTGTTCAAGACTGCAATTAGATATAACACCTAGCAAGGCCTTTCTGTTTTGTGTGTATATGCACAGTTGAGGACTGAACCCAAGGTCTGGCGCATGCTAAGCATGTGCTCTATCACTGAACACAGCCCTAGGCACCCTCTTTACTACTCATACATAGGAAGGCTAAATATGTTATCAGCAATGCCTTTAAAAAACAGAACAGCCATGAAGCTTCTGATAGGAGCAAAATCTAAGCAGCACTGGACTGGATGAAGAGCAAATGCACTTGAACACTAACTAATGGGTGCTCAAAACCTCTAAGAAATATCCTTTTATAACCAAGGAAAATGGGATGTGACAAGGACTTTATGAAGCACATGATTTACAGTGGTCTCACAGACTGCTGCTCCAGAGGTCTCTAATGTGACTCATCGGTATCTGCTATTAGCACCAAAAGACAGAAAGTATGAAGTCACTTTATATATGTCTAATTATATATCAGTACAACCAATAGAAAATGCAAGAAAGTATTACGGGATCTATATACAGAGCAATTCTATGCATCTCACCAACCCATAGAAGAGCACAAGCTTGCAAAGGGCATGACATTTTTCCAAACAGAAAAAAAATTCAAAGAAAAGGTAAGAGCTATTCTAATGAGAGCTTAGATGCAGTACTTTATAAGCCAGAAAGCCTCAAGAAATCCAAGTATAAAGAAGCCAGTTGTTCATAACTTAGAAAGTTTTATTAACTTTTTTTTTAACCAGAAGAAGAGAAAAGAATGACTTTTTCTCCTACCTATGATAAACATGTCAATAGCAGCTGGATCCCGAGCCATTTGGTCCTAGGTGAGAAAAAGAACGCAATTGATACATTTCTTATTGTTCATTACCTCGATTTCTTCCCAGAAAAAGTAAAAGATAAAAATAACTTTAATGTTCCACCAAACACTCAGGTATTCCTCACACTTTTCAGTGCCTGCTCTTACGATTCCTATGTTTAAGCTGCTTCTATAATGTCCTCAGAAGAGTGCCAGGCACTTCAGGAAGATACTACTACTACGGTCAGAATGAATGAAGAAATTATTGTGCAACTAGGAAGCTGAGGTTGTAAGACAGATGGCTTGTTACAGCCTAGAAGAAAGGGCTTTGGGTTGAGAGTTAAAGAGACCTGAACAATTCTAATATGCTTAAAAGCTAAATTTTTAAAAAGCTAGAAACATACATTATAATTAAGTACTTCAAAGAGAAGTTTCTTACTAGGTTCTCTTAAACTTGAAGTCACAGTTCTCCTTCTAATATATACAAGAGTTCACACTGTTTGCCCAGTGGTAAAGCTTTCTTTTGGCATTTTACACCATTGTGTCAGAACAGTAATTTTACTTAGTTAAAAATATAATATTCTCTTCTCTCTGTTCTACAACCCTGAAAATACTAATGCACCCAAATACCACATTCAAACACACTTCTACTTACTGGACATTGGTAGAAAACTTCATTTTTATTTCGGCCCTCTGCTGCCTCCACAGCTATGTACTGACTCAAACCAGTGTGGATGCAAAAGGTCAAAGGCAGGCAGTACTTCAGTCCCTGCCTCTGTTGGAAGCCTCCAGCAGCTGTGTCAACGTCTAACAAATCTTCAGAACGGTAGTGATTCGAGAGCGCCATGCTTCCCAGCAACCTGAGGGGAAGCAGACTCGAAGATGAAACAGTGGTACCAAACCGAGGCTGTGCTTTAGCTACATGACGAATCACACTAACAACTTCAGAAGTACTGATCAGTGACTCCACACAGGGAATACCAAAATCAGTACAATTTTCTGTATACTAAATTCACACTCTTCATCAGAAAGGAGATTCTGATTTAAATTAAAAATTGAATTAAATATTTAATTAGCCTTAAATGTCAGTCTTTAGAAAATGTAGTTTTGCTGATTTCAGCAATCTCTAGCCAGCTGTGGTGGTGCACACTTATAATCCCAACATAGTTTTGAGACTGAGGCAAAAAGTTTCTGAGTTTGAGCCCAGTCTAGGCTACTTAGCAAGACCCTGTCTTAAAAATCTGCTTTTTTTTTTTTTGAGACAGGGTCTCACTATGTAGTTCAGGCTGGCCTTGAATTCATGGCACTCCTCCTGCCTCAGCCTCCTGGAGTGTTGCAATTACAGATGTGAGCTACCACAACTGGCTAAAAATTTATTTTAAAAAAAGGGATAGAGATGTAGCTCAGGGTGAAGGCTCTAGGTTTAAGTTTTAGTATCACACACACATATACACAAAAGAAAAGAAAGGAAGGAATGTATCTTGCCATAATATAATGATTTGCCAATGTTTTGGTATATATATACATACATGGCTGACTTACTGTTAAAAGGGGTAAATTCTCTGATACCTTTATCTTGACAAAACCTTTAGCTTACTTACATTGCAATCAAAATAAAAATCAGTCTAAATCTCGTCCAAATTTGAAACACACGCGGTAATATTCATCTTACTTCTTATGTGTAATAGTAGTAATTATGACATATCAATGACTACCTGGTGGTCTCTACAAGATTGGTCTCTACAAGATTTCTATCTGAAGTCTCACCTTGGGCTATATTCTGCGTTCAAATTCATGACTTACTTGGATCTGGGTAATTCTTTCTGAGTGCATGCGTGCATGTGTGTGTGCGTATGTGTATAAGAATCAAACTCAGGACCTTGCACTTGCCAGGCAGGCACTTATGCCGCTGAGCCCTCCAGCCTCTGGATAATTCTTACAACAAAGTTCTCTCCTATTTGCTGTTAAAATATGACAAATTTTCAACTTGGCCATGTTTCAGTTTGATAAGGAAACAAATCCACCCCCCAAATAAACAATCGCCAGTACAGGTTTATCTAGTCCTGACTGACTTCTATTTCTGACTTGTACCTGATAACTGATTTTTAGTCTTGTGATATCAATATGAACTTCTGAGATTCCCTGAACACACTCAGTTCTCCTCTAAAATTGTGAACAGAGCCTCATAGGATTCTTCACACATAATGAACATCAGGCTCCACAGGGTCACTGCAATGTTCTCTCGCCCTCTTACAAGCCCTTCACAGTATCAAAGTCTCTGAGACACTTAATGTCATGAACGTATGAAAGGAGCAGACCTGGTCAAAGCTGTGAGGGAAACTGACAGCTATTACACAGTCTGCTTTTACCAAAAAGCTTCACAATGAATTATGCCATGTTTTAGAAGTTTAAATAGGCATTTGATTATAGCAAATGCCTCCACAAAACAAGCTCCCCAGACAATTTACAGCCTGTAACAGGATAAACATGTCAAGAATGCTAGAGTTTAGTTAAAATATACTCACTTGCACCTCTGCCCTTCATCCCCATACCCTTAACCCCTGAACAGACTTCATTTTAATCATAAGGGTGCTAGCAGAAATGTTTTTATGAGAAATAGTTAATTTTGGTAAAATCTAATTCTAGCTATACATTTTTTCTTACAGACTACTGCAAAGAGGAAGAGGGAATACCTATACTACTCTACTTTGTTAAGGGTAACCATAAAAGCAGTCTATTTACTTTCATTTGAGAACGTAACTTGTATCATTTAAAAATCACGTAAAAATCACAAAAACATGGCACATCTTACCCAGGAACCACTAACTTCTGTCCGTTGTGGATGCGGTACGAACACCGATAATCATCGGGAAGCTTGCAGCCGATCTGAGCCTCCACTGCGTCCAGGTCTTCCTCCCGTGCACCCTCTGCAAATCACACCAAAGAGGGAATTGTGAAGACACACGAGCCTTCACTGCTAACTCCAGAAACCACCTCAGAGCAAGGGAGCTCTTCTAAAATATACTGCCACACTACAGGGGAAATGAACTGCATACTGGAAACATTTAGAACTCAGCAAGTAAAAAAGTCCTTCATTTCTTCTCAGCAGAGAAAACTCTGGCACTTCGCAGAACATGGAGAGAGGACACCATTGAAATATGTAATAATTTTTTACATTATAACACAAACAGGGTAGATCTCATTTTCAACAACCTACTCCATTCAATACTGCCTTTTTTAAAAAGCCAGAAATTCTCTAAGCTGATGTTTCTAGAATTTTAACACAGTTCTCTCCCTCTCTTTTTAATTTGAGGCAAGGTCTTGGCTATGTTGCCCAGGCTGGTCTCAAACTCCTGGGCTCAAGTGATCTTCCTGCCCACTGACTCAGGACTGGGACTACAGCACACACTGTGGTGCCTGGTTTCAACGTGGTCTTTCTATGATAAATAAATCCTCCCTTTCTATGATAAATTCTCATGCACCAGGACGTAAGGTACATGTTCATGCTATGAGCAGGCCACTGATTTAAATCATAATTTCTTATTTGTAAACTTCCATGTAGTTTAGCTTTAATACACATGAAAAACTACAAGTGAGAGGAGAGCTCCACTTCCAGTAGTGACCGACCAGGTTACTGTTTGAAGACTTATTAAAAAACCAGAAAGAAGAAGAGGTTAAGAAGAAGTAAACTAAGGTTTCTGGAGTCCCTTTGTTCTTGAAGGAAGCAACTGCCAATTCTAAAAGCCAACATGAGGCTGAAACATCAGGAAGCTGAGCAAAGGTTCAGGCACTGCCATAAAGCTGGAGGATAAAGAAAAGAGTAGGGTGTACAGTCCACAAAGCCAGGTCTCTTGGCTAGGACCCAGAAGGGCCACATCCCAGAGCAGGGGGAACTGAAAACAGACTACTATAGTACTCACAAAGACTAAAGCCCGGTCCCCAATCACACTGGTTCCTAATTGGATTAAGGCAATCTGTCCACTAACTAGCTGCCAGCCAAAGACAGAAGGAAACTGTTAGAAGAAGACAGCAACCCTGCCCTCAAACTCAAGTAGTATTGAGCAATTAATCAAAAATAAATAAAAAGTAGGCCTACATAAAGACCAAATCTGACTAAAGAGCAAGAAGGGAAAGAAATGACTAAAAATACAACTAAATTCACAATATATCCAGTTACTGAAGTGAGTAAACATGGATTTAAAATATCCATAAATGCCCATACATTAATATATTCAATAAATTAAATGACAAGAGAATTTCAGTAATGAGTCAAGAAGCAATTATGAACCTCGTGGAGAATAATTACAAAATTATATCCAAGACAAATCTCTGGAAAACTGCTGAAAATCAAAAAAGAAATCTTAAAAGTAGCTAGAGGAGAAGAAAGGCTTATAATTACTATCTTCAACAGGAACACAGTTAAACAAACAGCTGACTGCTCAACAGGATCAAAGAAGCCAGAAGAATGACATCTTCAAAGTAACTAAAAAAATCAGTGCTGATCAGAATTCTATATCCAGTAAATATATCCTCCCAACAGTGAAGATGAAATAAATACATTTTCTGGGCTAAGGATACTGCTCAGTGTTAGAACTCTTACACACTGAATGTGGGGCACTGAATCAATCCCCAGCATCAATAGTTAGTTAATTAATTAATTAGAAAGAAGTACATTTTTAGACTAAGGAAATCTGAAAAGATTCAGCAGCACAGTCCCTCATTAAAAGAAATTCTTCAGACAGAAGATGATGACTCCCAGTAGAAGAATGAAGATGTGGAAAAGAAGAACAACCAGAAAAGGTAAATATGAAGGGAAATCTAAATCAGTATTGAATAACTATATAATAATTATGTTTTCAATGACACTAAGTATGCTGAAAAGTAAAACTGCAAAAATATAATACAAAAGAAGCGGGTATAGCTTAGCTGGAGAGCACACCTGTCTAACATGCACAAGGCCCTGAGTTTGATCTTCAACGTTCTACTCTCCTTTCCTCCCAAATAAAGCCTCAAAACTGTAAGAGAGATGACTGGAGGTGATTGGAAATAAGGTATTCTAATTTTCCTTCTTCATCAATAAGTCATAAAAATATTAATTTACACTAGACCTTAAGTCAAAGATATACACTTTAGTATCTATGGTAACTGCTAAAAAAGTATAAGAAAGAGTAAGGGAATGAAAAAATCATAATTAGGAAGAATGCAAAACAAATACAACAGTGGACACAATCTATTTACATTCAAATACATACATTAAATATAAATGGGCTAAATAATCCAATGAAAGACAAACTGACATACCAGCTGAAAACAAGGGCCACAGATAAAGATCAGCGTTGGCTCAAAATGCAATGTTTGAAAAAAACAAAAACCAACCAAATCAAAAACTACACAATTATATACTTGTATATAACATAGGTACAGAGAAGAATGCTAGGACAGTTCTATTAAAAAATCACAGCAAACAGACTTAACGGGAAATAGCTTTACTCTATAGAGCTAATGGACGGCTTCTCATTTTGATAAAAAGGTTAAATTTCCTACACAGATATTATAATTCTAACTTTATGCACCTAATACAGCTTCAAAATATATTTTTAAATGAACTAAAATGAAAATTTATTTCTGTTTTTTGTCGTCTTGAGACAGGCTCTCACTATGAAGTTTAGCCTGGCCTTGAATGCATAACGATCCTCCTGCCTCAGCCTCCCAAGTGCTAGGATTACAAGAGTGTGCCACTATGCATGGCTGAAATGGAAAATTTTTATCTACAAGCATATTTTTCCATTGCTGCAATAATAGCAGCCTGACGTAACATTCACTGCCTGGGAATGTAGCTCTGGGGTAAAGTGTTTGCCTACCACATGTGAAGTCCTGAATTTAATCCATAGAGCCACAAAACAAACAAGCAAACCAACACTCATTTCTTTTTCAAGTAAATGTGAGGCTGAGACAGCCCGGGCAAGGCTCCTTTCTTAAATACCTCTCCCACACAGGACAGTCAGCCCCTCTACTCTAGGCTCAACTGAGGGAAGGTGGAGGGAGCCAAGTCCACCTGCCAGGAAACAGAGCCAGGAGATTCACATATTATTTCAGTTTGCGTAAGTCAGAAGTCTAGGCATGACTCAACTGGACAAGGCTGAAGTCTCGTTTTATGCATCTTTTGTTTGGGATCCTCTTCTACCTCACTGATTACTGGCAGAAATCAATTCCTTGCAGCTGCCGGCCAGAGGTCCTCTGCTCCTATCGGCCACCTCTCATTCCCTATGATGTGGCCTTCTCTGTAACATGCCAGTTTGCTTATTCAGTATCAACACAGGGAGAGACACTTTGAGTCTTTGAAGGCCCACTCCCCTTTAAGGACCCACTTGGATTGAGGCAGGCCCACCCAAGACAATTTTCCTTTTGATTAACAAAGATCTCAAATTCAACTAATTTGGGACTTTATACCTACCTTTTTCGTAATATGTGGCCTAATCACAGCACAGCAGTGAAATCAATTATTTACAGTTCTACCAACACTCAAAGAGAGACGATTTGCTTAGGTCTGTACATCAGGGGTTGGGAATCTGGGGAGCTACCTCAGATCTCTGCCTCCACAGTGAGAGATTTTAACTTACTTCTCTCAATAACCAATAGAAACAAGAAAGAAGAAAATGGTGCAGAAAGATTTGAACATTGACAGATTTTACTAATTATATCTACAGTACTGAATCAAACAATTGCTAAAGCCACATTCTTTTCAATTAAACATGAAACAAGTCCCCAAAATAGACAAAACAGATTACACATGGACCACAGCAAAAATCTCAACCAATTTTAAATGACAGACCTCACATAGAATATATTCTCTGATCACAGTGAAATTAAAATATGGTTTTATTTTTAATTTTTCTTTAAAAATATATTTTTAAAGATTATTTAAAAAGAGGCCGGGAATTTAGCCCAGTAGTGTAAGCACATGCCTGGCAAGCATGAGGTCATGATTTTGATCCCCAGTACCAAAAATAAAATAAAGATTAGTAAAAAAGCTCTGAATGTTTAGAAGTCAAGCAATACATTTCTATATAATCCATGAGTTAAAGAAGAAATAAAAACAGACAATAATAGTAATGAAAATTTAACATATTAAATTCTGCAGGATAAGCTAATATGCTTAGTAGGAATTTATAACAACTAAATGCATCAGAAAAAAAGAAAGCTTAAAAATCTAAGCAATCAGCACCTGCCTGGCAAGTGTGAGATCCTGAATTCGATCCCTGGTATCACAAAAAAAAAATGTTAAGCAATCATCTCAAGTCAGGGGGTTAAAAAAATCAGAAGAAAACTCAACAGAAGACAAATTAATGAAATAAAAAATAAACTGACCAAGAAGACTGACCAAAGAAAACTGACCAAGAAGCTAGTTTTTGAAAGGACAAATTAACCTAGCAAGACTGACCAAGAAAGTCAAGAAAGTACAAAAAATTAGTATTTGAAGTGCAAGAAGTGGTATTACAGATTCAGTAAACATTATATTCTCGCTTTATATTATAAATTATTTTATTTACGCCAGTTAATTTAATATTTAGATGGAGATAATTTCCTAGGTAAACACAATTTATCAAAATTGACATAAGAATAAAAAGTCTGAACAGTCTTCTATCTAATAAAGAAATTAAATCCTTAATTGAAAACCTTCCCATAATAAAAACTTGAGAGTTGAATGGCTGGCTGGTAAAGACCCTGGGTTCAATTTTTAGCATGAAAAAAAAGTATTTTTAAAGAAATCACAATAGATATTCTCAAGCAATCTTAGTATTACTATTTTCTTTATATAAAACAAATATAAGGACAAAACAAGTTCAGCTTTCTCTTCAAGTACACAACCATGAAGTCCCAAGGTTGAGTAAACACAGGGCAAGTCCCAGAGCAAAGGTACTCTAACTCTACTGGTACTCCATTTTCTTAGCAACTGTAAACCACCATTCAAAGTTATTCAACTTACTCATACCAACAGTAACCAAAATGGGGGAACGTGGACCCTAAATTCCAGTACCTTTCAGAGATAAAACCATCCGAGGACACCTGGGCTCCAAATATTTCTTGAGATCATCCCAGGCCTTTTTAATAGCAGCGTAATGGTCAATGTATCTTCCTACATCAGAGTAAGTATCTATGAAGAGAGATTTCCAACACTGATTCTTCTGTGTTTTTTCTTCCCTAAACAGATTTTAAAAATAAAATTAAAAATCTTTTTAAAGGATATTAGCATATATTTTCAACAACAACACATTTCATTATTTTAGCAACAAAGGGAGACTATATAGCAAACAATGATACATACTTCAAAAGTTTTAATGGGAGCTACTGTAGGCACGGTGGATTAAGTCACTTATTCTCTTACTTTCTACTTAAATGTCTTCTGATCATTAATAAAAATATAAACTGGGCATGGTGGCACACACCTGTAATCCCAGCACTTAGGAGGCTGAGGCAGGAGGATCACCATGAGTTCAAGGCCAGCCTGGGCTACATAATGAGTTCAAGGCCAGCCTAAACTGCATAGCAAGACTCTGTCTCAAAAAACAAAAAAATTAATAAAATATAGTGTGACTAGTATGTAAGCAGAATTTCAACTTATTCCTAGTAATGTATTAATTGTAAAAAGGTATATATATAGTTGTCATATTTTAGAGAATATCTAGAATCTATTGATACAATATTAAGCTAGCACATCTGTATTGTATTAGAGAACCATAAAGCAGCAAAATAATTATATGTTTCAACATTTCTATTTGGTATAAATCTGTAAACATTTATTCTTTTATTTTTTATTTTATTTATTTATTTATTTTTGTAGTACTGGGGATTGAACTCATGGCCTCACGCTTGCCAGACAGGCGCTTATGCCGCTGAGCTACAGCCCACAAACATTTATTGAGTGTTCACTTAGTTGCCACTGAAGACATTAAAAAAAACAAAATTAAAAAAAATAACTTCAAAAAGGTATAGTCTTACTAGGGAGAACGAATAAAGTATGAATTTAAGAATCAGAAGGGATGGGAAAAAAGCAGACATGGAAAGCCTGAAGATACCATACTGACTCGCTTGACCTTCTTGTGAAGGAAATGAGAGCTATGGAAAAGTTTTCACAGCAGAGTTAGAAGAACTGTGGTTTGACAGAAGTAGATTTCAGGGTGGGAACCAGAAGCACAGAGGAAGATTTGTAACAGTACCGGTTAAGAGACAATGAACTGAACTAGAGCTGTGGATGCGAAGTGAAATGAACGGGGAGCCTGAAGAAACACATACAAGCTGCAAACAGGAAAGGCTGGCAATTAAATCACGGTAGAGAAAGACACAGGAGAGCTCAGAGGACTCCTGGTTCTGGCTTGGATGCCTGGACAGATGGTGCTCCAGGAAGGCCAAGGATGCAAAGGGGAGGTTTAGGGATGAGGATAGCACAAATCGAGGTAGGATTTTCAGGAGGAAAGCATCTTTTTATTAATCTAAACAATATACACACGTATTATCAAAACTAAAAAGCATCAAAGAACAGGGATAGGGCTACAGCTCAGTGGTACAACACTAGGCTAACAGGCAGGAAGCCCTCATGCCTTAAAAATAAAATAAAAATGTAAAATGTACCAAAGAACTTGTGATAAAAAACTAGTTCTAAACCCAATCTCTCAAAACGAGCTTAAATTATTCAAGAATGTTATCTCAACCATTCTAAATGTTTAAATGTATGGTTCTCGATTTATCAGTTTTACACATAACTGCTGATACTACCAAGTGAAAGATGAGGACATAGCAATACTTAAAATTCAAAGTCGAATTAACTAAAATTCCCTCTTCCTCATTTTCTTCCTCTCAATGTTAATAGTTTTGTCCTTAATTTTTAGTTTGGCAGAATTAAACTCTGCAGCTTTAAATAATTCACTTAAACCTCTACTTCTTGCCTTACCAACCTTACTTCTTGCCTCACCTCAAGAGCTAAGAAAAAACAGTAGCATCCCTACCTTCCCTTTCACCTTTCCCAACTGTCACTGTCTTGTCATCTGTATTTTTATTCAGTCAAACTGTTAATATCTACCGAGCCCAGTTACGCCATGCATGACAATCAAGGGGAAAGTCCAAAAGATGGTGCTGCCAGTGAGCTCAGAGCCAAGCGTGGACACCACAGGGAGAGACTCGGGTCTGGGAGTTAGAAGAACTCAGGCTGTCACTAGGAACTGCAGCGAGACATGCTGAAAAGTCACAGAGACAGAAGGACAGTGGGCCAAGGACAAAACCTTAAATACCAAGATACCCTGGCAGGTCCAAGAAGAGCCATCAAAGGAGACCAAGGTAAGCGAGGTGTTATAGTAGCCAAGGGTCGCATTTCAAAAATACATATTCCTCACCAGGGGATGGGAAAGAGGAGCAGGGAGGGAGTCAGAGAGAGACTGAATGACAAGTACTAAAATACCGTACAGCTAAATAGATGGAGTAAGTTCTATCGTCCTACAGCAGTTTGCTGGGAAAAGCTTGCAACACTTTATTTGCTATTTTATACAGAACTAAAAGAGGCGTTCAGAGGTTCCAATACAACAGAATGATTAAGTGTTCAAGGGGGTGGAAGTGCTAATTAGTCTGAGTTGATCATTATAGTTGTACATATTATTGTATTATCACACCGTACCCCATAAACATGTTCAATTATTCTATATCAACTAAAAATATAAAATTAAAAATGTTCTCTAAAAAATTAATGCTTCCCACAGACACACAAAAGAATACAGAGTCCCTCAAATACTTACTCAGATATCAGCCAGTATTTTTTGCAATGTCTTCTCCACAGTGGATCATGACTTGATAGTTGGCTAAGTCTTCGACTCACATAGCAACAACTGGCAGTGACCCAATTCACAGAAGGAGTAAAAGGAAATGCAAAAATATTAAGAAGATTAAAATAGCCATTGCTAAATTTTGTTGTATTCCTTTCACTTTTCTTATTTTCCAATCAAAACAGTGTTTTCTTGGCATACTTGGAAGACTGAAGCAGGAGGATAGTAAATTCTAGGCAATTTAGCAAGCAAGTTTAAGCCCAGCCTAGATTAAATAACTAGGCCCTATCTCAAAAACAAAAACAGTGTATTCTAAGACAGCATTCTGTTTAACATGGTAAGCTGGTATAATTACCATATGAGTAATAAAATCTTTTCATTCACAAATTTAGAAACTTCTACAATTGTAATTTTTATAAGAACGTCTATAAAACATATGTACCATGAAAACTGATCTCAATTTACAGAGTTTTCCCATAATTATCAGAATAATAATCTCTGTATAAAACATTACTTAAGTGTAAGCAAAGTCATTATCAGGTCTTTTTCTATGACTTGTAAGACATACTACAAATGCAAGATACCCTGGCAAATGCAAGATAGCCTTTATTTTGCTGTAATTTTTTAAAGGAAAAAAATATTGCAGCCACCAACACTTTTCATTAAAGCAACTACTGGAAAATCCACCTAAAAAAACATCTGACTCATAATAGTTCTGATTCAATATTCATGACTATACAAGTTAGCAGCTGCCCTGAAGCATGGAATACTAAAAGCAAGTGCTTTTCCTACTACATCAAGAGTTCTAATACAATAGTGCTCCAATCCTATAGATGTTACCCTACATAACTCATTGGCAAAAAGAATGCACCTGGATTTCTATCCTTTCAAAAGAGAAATTCCAACCAACAGAAAGTAGGCATTCACTTGGGCAACAGCTAGTCAATAAATTTCAAATCGCATGGAGTTTTTAAGGACATAAGTAGTGTGTATTAAAAATCCATCTATGATAAATTATTAGCCTTTGATTTAGAGGTTTCACAGAAATACTATCTTCATCCTTTTCCACTATGCACAGAAAAACTAACTTTTATAAACACAGGAACCCTTCCAGTTTTACAAATTCAAGTTCCATTTCCTCTTTTCCTGATTCCTCTCCCTCCACTGCCCCAACAGCTGTAATAGCACCAAAGGTGACTTTGATGTACAAACAGTAGTTTGAAAACTACTGTTGTTCTACATAGACTCTGGGGCTAGGGGTATAGGTCAGCGACACACTTGCCTGGCAAGCTCACGGTCCTGAGTTCCATTCTTGATTCCAACAAAACAAAACAAAACAAAAGCATAGTACATAGAGTCTCTGATTCAGATAGAATGGAGTGAGAGCTGTAACTCTGGTACAGTTATGCTTAAAAGGTGTCATTAATTTTGATGCACAGTGAAGGTGGAAAATGGCATATGATGAATCACTAGGATGAAAAAGCATCACATAATCTCAGATTCAAACTAAGCAACTGATCCCATGGCAAGATTCCCACAAACTAACCCAATCTAACCCATACAGTTGAGCAAATATGTACCAAAACTTCCAGGACCTGGCAAAGGGCTGCACACTTGGCAAAGCTGGCCTGTATGGTACAGGAAAGAAGCTCCTGGAGACACCTCTGGGGAGCAGCCAGTGGTATTCACCTTAACTGAATTCTACAGACATTAATGGAGGGGTCATACCTCTTTGGTTTAAAAGTTTGATTATCACCTAAGACATTTAAAATAAAATCTGTTCTCCTAACCTTGGCCCACAGGTCCTACATGATCTCATCAGTTTCATCTCAAACTAGTCTGCCTTGTGAGTCACTCCCTACTTTCTCCGCAAACCAGCCTTCTAGCTTCTCCAACAGGCTGTGCTGTTGAAAGGCTCCATCAGCATCTAAATACACTGTTTTCTCTGCCAGGACTGCACTATCTTTCCACTGTGAACTGGTCATCTCTTTCTCCTCATTCCTTAACAGAGCAATCTATTTCCTTCAGGGTACTCAGCACCTCTTGTAATTACACTTGTCCATCTTTCCATCTTGCCTACTTAGCCTGTAAATTGCATGAGAGGGGACCTCATCTATTTTGTTCACTACAGTATTCCTTTACATTTAATGGGCTGACACATAGCCAGTACCCAAAAAATCTGTAGAATAAATGATGATCACAAAGTTCTTATATTTGAGAAGTGCACAATCTACCTGAGATGCTAAATTTTGCAGAGAAAGGAATAAGATAGAGAAGAAGGTATTCCAGGCAAAGTCAAGAGCTTAAGCCACCAAACAAAAAAAAAAAAGCAAGTGTGTGGCATGTTAGCCCGGGTCTAATATGATTACAGTCAATTATGCAATTATGATAGTGAAGAGAAATAAAACCTGAAAAGCTTTACATATTAAGCCAGATGATAAAAGCCTTAAATCCAGAAGTTCTGGTTAGTCTCTAAACAAGGGATATCACAAGTTTTTAAGAAGAAGGACAGCCTGGGAAGATCACTGTGGCAGCAATTAAAACTGTGAGGTGGGTAAAAAATAGTTTGAGCCAGAACAACCTTTTATGAAGAAAAATTTTACTATTCTGCATTGGTACAGCCTGATCAGGGCAAATGTACTTTTTAGAAAAATAAAAGAACGTGGTACTAGCAGCAAGTAACCTAAGGTATCCCTCTGTCACTACTTTGCTAGACCAACCAATAGCTATGTATTCCTAAAAGAACTCTTGATAACACAGGATCCAGCAGCTACAATCCAATGTCTAGAATCGAACAGTTAATCACATACCCAAAAAAGATGTAATCTCATCTACCTGTTCAGAGAGGACATCCTCTGCAAACACATATGGTAGCATAAGAAACTCAGCTATGCTGTCAAGGGTATCAGCAATCTGACACCTGGGGCACGGGGAAGAGGAGTGGGTAGCATCATTTCTTCCAAGAGCCCAAACAGTCCCAGTCTCTGAAAGAATTGGACACTTAACCACTCTTGCCTGCAACTGATGTTTATCTTTGTACCACACCACCGGAAGTCAATACCAAAAACATAAAATCCAACATCCAATCGTGAAGAGGAAAGACTGAGAGCAAAACAGTCCTCAAACACGTAAGTCCCAAAGTGAGCCCTGCCAGTGTTTATAGTGTTGGTGTCATACCTGGGGCGGCAGGGTGGCTTGTCGCCTTCCCCCGCGCGCTCTGTCCACGCCGCCGCCTGACCCACAGGCCCCAGCCTAACAAGGAGTAGCGTGAACAGGAACGGAGCTTATCTACGGCATCCGGGGCTGGGACAGACCAGGCTGGGCCCTTGGGGAGCCCGGGACGCGACAGGGCAGCATGGGGGGCGCCACCTTCGTCCCGGGCAACTGGGCCTCGCTGCGGCCTGGGAGAAAGAGCTCTCGCTCCCCGAGTCCTGGGCGCTAGACGTGAGAAAGACCTCGGGGTGCTGGAAGAATCCTTTTGCCAAGGCCCCTTAGCCCTGCGATGGCTCTGCAGGATAAGTGCGACCGACCCAAGCGTCACCTTCTGGAGACGGGCGATCCGGTGTCCACCGGCCTCCAGGCCTCCTTCCCCAGTGTCTCAGTGCCGCCTCCCGCGTGCTCCCACCCCTGCCACGCGCGCCGTGCATTACTTGATTAGGTCCCGGTAGTCCAGAAAGGATAAAATGAGGAGCAAAGGATCGGTAGGCAGCGACTCCAGGGTCATCATCGCCGACTCGGCCTCCATGGCCGCCATCTTGCCTGGCGCGGTGCAGCCTGGCCCCGCCCTAGCCCCGCCCCCGCCGCCGGCGCAGCCCGGCCGCTCCCCTGCCGCGCGCTCAGGTTTGTTACGTAACCGACCTCCGGCCCCGCCCCCAACGAGGGCAGAGGGGCGGAGACCACGAGGCCCCGCCCCGCCGCTGCAGCCAGCTGCCGCTAAGTGTAAGTGAACAGCTGTGCGTCAGTCACACCTCCCAGCCTGCTGCATGCTGTCAGTGCGCTGAGACCTGCCCAGGCTCTCTCAGACTTTATTCCCAAGTCTTTTGTCTCGCTCCCTACACCTAAGTCCGCAAGCGCAGTTTTACACCCGATAGCCTCAAGTGCTCGTCTCAAACTTCACACTTACTCCTTTCTGCCCTTAACCTTCAAATCCTCCCTTTTTCTTCCTTTTCCAGTCCATCCTCGTTCCTTCCCTCCTGTGTGTCCCAAGCAGACAGCAGCATTGCTCTTGATCCGTGTGCGCAGTAGTAGGGGCCAGCCTAGGAACCTGCCCGGGGCGTGGGGGGAAGGCTGTGCTCACCAACTGGGAAACAATCCTAGAAGGCAGTATTTTACCACCACTACTCCATCAAAACATGCACATGCACTGCGTCTGAATGTCAGCTGCTTTCACTTGATTTCGTTGTCTTGGATGTTTTTCAGTCTGTTAGAGCAATGCGAAGTGTGTATTGAGGGGGTTTATTTGTGTGTTTGTTTGTGGCTAAGGATTAGATTCTTGAGAGTTAAGTACCCAAGAGTGAAGGGATGAATTGAGTCCCACGGAGAGCATAATGACTGAGGCATGAAGATATGAGAAAAATAACTCCCAGCGTTTTAGATGTCAGATGCACTGGGGTCATGGCCTCACAAAATCGAGGAATGCAGTCGAGAATTGAAGGAAGAGGTTAGGAGAGTTTTACTGGAAACAAGAATAATAGCTCTTGGATGTCCAGGAGAAATCCGGCACAGGTAGCAGCCTCATTTCTCAATCCCAAAATACTGACAGGTAAGCAGATTCACAGGAATTGCTCAGTTGTTTAACGCCCACATATCACAGGTTGCTCTGGACTTAAAGCAATCAGTTGGAGCTCAAGCTCTCTACCTCAGTCCTTCAACTAGTACGGTTTAAAGGAAACTGGGGTGGGCGATTCTTTTGCATTTAAAATTCCTCAGAAATCAGGAGCTTAGTAGGGAGCGGCTACATCTCCCTTTAGTAGGGAATAGGCTGCATTCCATGTCCCCTGAGGGACTTCCAAGCTTTTGAATTCCTCAAAACTCCTTCAGTAAAGGAGTAACAGCAAGTTTCTTTAGTATACAGTGGGCTGTATCTCATATTGCATGCGAAAGTTCATCCTGTGTCCAAAATCTTAGCTCACTGCCCGTTATTAATTTTCATCAATACTGTGCCGACTGTGTCTCAGGCTCTTCTGCTAGTGAGCTGCCTTACTCATAAGCTAGCTAAATAAAGTATTTTCTGCATGAAGATGGCTGTACTTCAGCTCTGCCACGGTGGTATTAAAAAATGAATGAGAAGCATAACAAATCACGAGTCAACACATCACTTGTCTGATTTCTTCTTTTCTGTCACTTTTCCAGGGACAGTAGGTTGAGGGTGCATTGGGAAGTCTGGACAGACCTAGATTTCACACATCTCTCACTTAATTTACTAGTAGTGAGACACTGGATAAGATAACCATGGCTCAGAACTGTGAGCCTGTTCCTTATGTCTAAAAACCTCGCTTCCTGCTGTGGATTAAAATTGTTCATGTACAGTGCCTGGCTAGCTACCCAATAACTATTTCTCAAGCTTATACATGTAACAGTGGCTAAGATTTCCAAACTCTTTCCCTGGAAAGAGTTTCTCTCAACTATTTGGAAAGTGAAAATGATAGTCCCCAATAATCCATTTTTTCAATTCACCATCCAATTGATGCTTCATATTTATGATTTTGTTTAATACTTATAAACCCTACCTCTGCCCAGCAAAACAAAACAATGAAATAACCTCTGGCCATATCTCTGTACTTATAATTATTTATGCATATTCTCTTTTTTTTTATCGGTACCAGGGATCAAACTCACAACCACCTGCTTGCAAGGCAGGTGCTTATGCTGCTGAGCTAAATCCCCAGCCCCTATTTATGCATATTCTTGAGAGCATTTATTAAATTGGATTCAGGTTAGTTGTTTCCTCTTTCCAAACCATGAACTCTCGGTTTTACTTATCTTTGTAATCTCAAGGAATAGTATTGACATGGGAGATTAGGTGTGACAGAACCCACTGGAGAAGTAAGTGTGACCTGTTAATTACAAGGTCTCAGAATATAAGTGTAGGACAGTTCCCAAACTCCTGCGCATAAACTTCTCTCAAGAACTCAAGGGTAAGTTTTCAATAGGATGGCCTAGATCTGACATCAACATGAGATGTGGGATCCCAGAACTGGCTCTCAGAAACCCAGATGTAGAAGTTCTCATAGGTTTCCTTGAGATTTGGACAGTATAAAAGGACACAGAAGGACCTGGGGATGTAGCTCAGTAGTACAGCCTGGCAAATTCAAGGCCCTGAGTACAAAAGGCCTTGCGTCCTAGTACAAAAGAAAAAAAAAAAAAAAAAGACACGGTCTGCAAGAAGAGCTGGCTCTGGTGGGTTTCCTTATAATATCCCACTCTGCTTCCTCCAGGGCGGACATTTATCTTGTGTTTTCCTCATTTACTTGATCCAGTGTAGCTCTGCTCAATCTTCACTTTTCTTTTTCAAATAAACTTTGCCACTGCTTTTTGCTTGTTTCCTTCCATTGTTTGTTCAAGATGAGCGGAATCTGGAATCTAACTCCAGAAGGAGAGACAAACAAACCCTGTAAACATTTAGTATTTGCAAGCTACTTTTAGAAGGAGCCCCCCAGTAATGGAATGACATTCAACAAGTGCGAAGTTTAAATTCAGGGTGACTGAAGACAAAACAGTTTTTTCTGTTTTCAAGGAAACTATACGTGTATACGCAGGTAACTGCTTGAAAAGGCATTTGATCCTAATTTTTCCTTGTCTTTTTTCCTCTCTCAGATGGGCTACTTGTTTTAAATACAAAAGCTGATGGGAGTTTTGAGTATGCTGCATTTGCATCTACCATCCCCTTACACTTGAGCTTCCTTGGCTTTAAGTGACGACTTAATACAAGAAACCAAAAGCATGAAATTACCGTGTCAGGGCCAGAGTTAGGTGAAGTGAGAGAATCACTTGCCTGGGCTACAAAATTTAAGAAGAATGTCCCCCACCCCCCAAAAAAATCCTTAGAAATTGGGGCTCGGGACATATTTCAACAGTAGAGTACTCCCTAGCATTTGTAAGGCCCTGAGTTCAATTCCAATAGGATAAAACAACAGGAAACAAAAAGCTCTGTAATCAAGAGAAATAATAATTTAATACAATAACTTTAGAAATCAAAACTAAGCCAAAAATCCCACAATGAACAAAATACCAAAATCTGAAATAAAACCAAAAATCACACAGCACTGTTCAAGCCATATTGAAACCTAAAGTAAAAGGAAAAAAAAAATACATGCACCCCTGAATACGTCTTTATTCATTTTTATGTGAAACCAAAAGGATTGGTCAAGTGGAGGTTTTGCTTCTCTGTGTGCCTGGGCTCTGTGAGCTTTCAGCTTCCCTCCCTCAGGTTGCTGGCCTCTGCCACTTAGGGGCAGCCCCTACTGCCTAGGAGGGAGCCTCATGCAAGGCTGAATTTTCTCCCCATCCGGTATAAGACAGGTGGAGGAGGTTGGGGGAAAATCCAGGTGGGTGCAATTCTAGAGAGCTCTTCCCTTCTTGAGCAGTGGCTCCTTACACACACACACACACACACACACACACACACACACACACACACACACACCCATAATGGCTGAACAAAAAGGTGGAAGAGAGAGTCCAGGGTTTGGTTATTTGGTTCTTCTCTCAGTGGAGAATTTACTGCAAGCATGTCACAGGGGCTGTTTGTTTCATTAAAAGCTTTGAAAGGTTCACCATCACCTTGAAGCTAAGGGGGAGGCTCAGGGCCGCAGAGCCCATGGACCTGGCTGGAAATCCAGGTCCCTTGAAGTTTGCTAATTGTTTAGGAAGCTAATCTCTACATGCTACAGAGGAATGTTACTAAAATACTATTTGCTTGTCACTGTGATTCATATGGCAGGTCAGAAAGCACAAGCTGAAAGAAGAGGTTGTGTGTGGGATTAATGAATTAATTAATTAACTTAGTGCTGGGGATTGGAAACCAGGACCTTCACACTGAGCTGATTCCCCAGCCCTTCAATTGTTCTTTTTTTATTTTGAGATAGGGGCTCACTAAGTCTCTAAATGTCCTAGGTTGGGTTTCTATGTGTGGTCTTCCTCCCTCAGCCTCCCAGAATGCTGGCATTACAGGTGTGCATCACCATGACTGACTTGGAAATTTTAAAGTTCCTTTTTTCCCAGTAGTAGAATAGACAGTGTTTGAGGCATAAATATACATGCATGATCCTTTTAGGACCTCCTCAATGTCATCTTATCTATGATGAATAGCAGAAAACATCCTACTTCATGGTAATACGTCATATCTTCATTGGCTTTGGGGTTTCCTCAGGTTGTTCAGGTAAATCCTCAGGCATTAATTTATATCTTATCACATGGAAGCATCCGGCTCTCAGGTCTGTGAGAGATAGAGATGCACACTGTGGTGCTGGCCTGCTCTCTCCTAAGAGACTTCAACTGGGGAGAGACAAATCCAAATGACTTTGGAGATTTCTTTTCCTCCTTTGTTTTCCTGGTTGAGGAACTGGCTGCTTCACCAGATCTCACTTAGCTTGGAGGCAGGACAGGAAGGTACCAGATGTCAAATTATACACATTCCTGATGATGGCCTAGATATGCCCTTCTCCCCTTAGAAGACACTGTAGATCAGGGGCCCATTGTCCTGAGCTCTTTCCTATCTTAATCTGCCCAGACAAGGGGCACCTCTTAATGGGACAAAAAAGCTGGGTACTGGAATGGGCAAGAGAGTTGTGTGCGCGCTTCTTGTTTTCTACTTATAGCCCCCCAGACCCCACTGTACGTGTGTACCATGTGGCTCTGGAAATGTATGCCCTTGGCATTGAACTGCCACTGCATGATAATTATATTGTGTGCTTTATTTTATCTTAGTGCTAAGTGTTTCGGGAGTCATCCTAGTTGTGGGGAGGCATCCTGTGCATCTGGCAGCCCAGGAGATGAAGGGAAAGGAGGCTGGTAGTAGGACACTAACTCCCTCAAGCAACTGTGACCTCCCCACCAAAGCCCTAGACCAAAAGGCTGATGACAGCTCACCTCTGCAGAGCTCAAGAAAATCAAGGATCTTGCCTTAGGGCTGAAAGCAGGACAATGGATAAAATTTCAGAGATGAGTGAAGATTAGGGGCTGGCTAGGCTGCTCAGAAAGGCAGCCAAAGGGGTTGGGGATTTAGCTCAGCGGCATAAGCACCTGCCTTGCAAGCAGGCAGTCGTGAGTTCGATCCCTGGTACCGATACAAAGGTAAAAGACAAAAAAAAAAGAAAGAAAGAAAGAAAGAAAGAAAGAAAGGCAGCCAGGTGGACTCAGCAATGCAAGCATCTGGAAAGGATTTGGCTGGTTCCATGGAGCAAATTCACAGCCAATCCCAAAGCCAGATGAGAAACATGGAAAAGACACAAGAGATTTATAAGCACAGTTCTAGCCACTGTTCAGCTAGGTTCTGAGACTTGGTGACTTGCTCTTCCCTTAGGCAGAGCTTGGAAACTCTCTGAATTTATCAAACAAATGTGAGTTACTTTGTTTTTATCTGCCTCATGCCTCTTGTTTTCTTGCAGCTTATGGAGGATATGTGACAAGTGCCTGCCAGCTGGATACACTTACAGTGTTCTTTGTTGGTGGCTAATATGGTGAGCTGAGGGCATGGGCAAAGCCTGCTGAGATCGCATCATTGAAACATTTTCTATCAGACTATGAAAGAATGCACTGTTCTCCTGCATGTACGGGTCAGGGTGCTGAACACCATCACCATTCACCAGTTCAATCCAGATATTCCTCATTTAACCAACTGTTTCACCACTGTTCAGATGGAGGACTTACTGCTCAGTCTTACTATCTGTCCTTTTTTGTTGTGGTTATACAGTTGTGTTTTGTTTATAAAGTCTCTATGTCTTTTTATATGCCTTGTTTATATAGTGCTGTAATTTTTTTGCTGATTGTATTGTACAGTACTGTTTTATATTCTGTTATATATCACAGCACTGCATGTAAGAGATATGCAAAAACAAGCAGTCACCAAGTTGGAGTTTTCCATTCTCATTTCTCTGTTCTGAACATTGTAATGTATGCAATGTATGCAATGTATGCAATGTATGCATTGTACCATATGCAAATTCCTCACTTAGTGACCAATTCATCTAATAATCTGGTCATAGGTACAGGACTCTATCATTAAATAAAGATTCTCTGTAGGCCTACAGGACTGGGGAAGACTCTCACATCTGGAATCTTACTGTCACCACTGAGAGTTAAATGTGTAAGTACCACTGATTCTGTGTCTGATGTCATCAGAGTGGCTGACCTGTAGTTGTACCGTCAAGGACACTTGGTATGCAGGCTTGGATGAGCTTGTGTTTTGTGTGTTTTTTAAATGTTCTCCAGGAAAAAAGGGAGAGAAATCAGCCTCTGACCTTCTCTAGCCTGCTGTGTGCCCCAGAAGCCTCATCATCACAAACCCCTTCACCTGAGCTCCCTTGTTATCTCACTTCTGGTTGGTCTCAGTCAATGGAAAGCTTGGTTGGAAACTGGGGGAAGGAAGAGAAAGAGAAATCCGAGAGTGTTTACTCTCCGTCTGTGGAGGCTTTGGTTGTGACCATGTTCCTCTGTGGAGCGTCCCCCAGTGACTGTGTTCCTCTGTGGAGCTTCCCCTCAGTGTCCTCTGTCCTATCTTCTGCTCATCTTGAATACTAACTATGTAACCCTCAAACTCTTGGCACTCCTCCTGTCTCAGCCTTCTGAGTGCTGGAATTACAAATGCCACCATCCCTGGCTTGGGTCAGACTGCTATAGTAATCTCCCCATTAAATGAATTCTATTTATTAAATTATTCTGAACACAAAGCATTTGATGACCATCATTTGCCTTCATCTAGCAAAGCAAGCAGTACTATAAGAAACCCCCCTAGCACATTATTGGTGAGTGACAAACACTAATACAGTGAAAACAGCTGGCTGGAGCAAAACATTGTACTTGACTGACAACCCCTTCAATAGGTATATTGTACACATCCCACTGCAACCTGTCTGAGAAAAACTGACTGAAGATGAGTGGGTTTCTGAGAAAGAAGAAACAATTCTGCCACTTACGTGAACTTCTTCAAAGAGATAGTCTACTTTCTATTACAAAGTTCTAGTTATAGAGATGGAAGTCCTGTTTTGGATTCGCCTGTTTTGGAAACACTCTAAATGCCTGGGAATTTTACTGCAGGCTTCATATGTGAGTATGATGATTAATCTTGATCATCAACTTGATTGGCTTCAGAGACAACTAGGAAATTAGTAACACACTTCTTGGTGTGTCTGGATGGGTCATGAGGGTGTGACCTTGTGGACTATATCTAGTCCCCAGTCCCTTTCTCTCTGGATCTTTCCCTTCTTGTCTGCTTCCTGGCTGTCATGAGTTAAGGAACTTTCCTCTGCATGTTCTGTTTCTGCCTTGGAACCAGTCAGCTGTGAATGGAAACCTCTGAAACCACAAGCCAAAACAATCCTTTCCTCCTTTCAATTGTGTATACAGGATCAGGTGTTTTGTCTCCGCAAAGGAAAAATGATGCATAAAATGACATAAGCAACTGTATTCAAAGAGTGGTCACACAGCAGATGCCTGGGAAGCAGTCTAGTCACCAGAAAAGCAAAGTGAGTTCTGGAGCCTTCTGTCTCCTGTAAACCCATAGAATCACAGCTATCAGTGATCAAGCTCACAAGGTATGGAAACCTTTGAAAGTGAGATCACACTGTTCTATCAGTCAAGACTTCCTTCTGCTACCAAGCCTGAAACTAGCCCCCTCTGGAAAAAGAAAATGTCCCCAAAAGTGAAAAATGTTCACTCTGCACCTGACATTCTCACCTTTGTCAGGCTTTGTCTGCTAGGAAATGCCTAGAGAGTTCTATAACCAGGTGGAAGTGGTGCCTCTGGCCAGGTCCCACACTCGCTCCCATACTTGAGCCACTTTAGGAATAGGTGGCTGCCCACCTGTTAAATATTGGAAAGATCCATTGAGTATGAAGCCTAAACAGTCCCCAGGTCACTGGGCCCTCTTTGGTAAGACGTGCATCTGACAGGAAAGCATGATTCCCTAATGTAATAATTTGCTTCTGAGATTGGCAAATCCCACGGAATGCCTTTGCCCTAAATTGCTGAGGCCTATAACACCTGACATGCTGAATAATCAGCCAAGCTTCATTTGCTATATTCGGCTACAGAGCGTACTTAACTACTTGAAGATTGATGGAAACAAAACCTTCAGATAACATGTTAGTTAGGATCCTCTGAGAAATAAATGTCAAGGTAGGATTAGCTTCCTGAGAGATATACCAGTATAGAGCTGGTAAGGATTGTGAGGGATAAAAGGCAGGGACCAGGAATAGGCAGGAAGAGCCTTCAGACCATGCCACAGACCTGACATTTGGGAAAAGAGAAGAGGATTTGGCAATATGAGTTCGGACTAAACTGCAGCTGTTGGAATGCCTCAATTAGAAAGAGGGAGAGTCCTCAAGCCACAGTTGTCCATTGAAGAAGAGCAGAGGTCCCAGGGTTGCCTGCACTAATACCCTGTTTTTGGCTAGGAGCAGCCCAGGAAAAGTATAGCTTTAACCCAGAAACATGATGGGCAGCAATTCGACTGTGCAGTCATCACACATAGAAATGCCACTAAAGGCCTAGCTACTTGCTTGGGCTCTGGACCTTTTCAAACACTGAATTAATAAAGGCACAGCTTTTATGGGGCCTCTGCTTTTGAAAAGATTTTAAGAAAAAGCCAGAGGGAAATGGTTCGCTAAAAAGATTGATCAAGCATATATGGGTATCATGTCTATCTGCATCAGCTCACTGAATCTATGCTCTAACTCATCATGGAAATGAAACCCAAAGGGCCCGAGATACCCAACCAGAAACTCAATCAATACCCACTGTGATTGAAAAAGTTTGGCCAGCTTTGGTAGCTTGTCCGTAAGTGACCTGATGACCTCGACAAGTCCTCTGGGCTCAGCTGTCTTCAGCTCTTTGTAAGTCACAGAGCACTGTCCTGCCCTCTGCCTTGGTAATGCAACCAGATGCCTAGAAGTTGAGATCCAGACACATACACACTGTCAGGAGGAAGGAGACACTCTCTCCTATACTCTGATTTTGGAGTAATACACAGTTGAGGAGTATGTCCAAATACTTTGGAGAAACAGAATTCAAGCCAAATGTTTCAGAAGAGACTGCATTCAAGGAACCGCTAGACACAGCTGGATATACTGAAAAGAACAAAGCACTGTTCTGTGGTCTGAATGATTGTGTTACTCTGAAATTCATTTGTTGAAATCTTAACCACTGAGGTGACAGCATTAGGGGAAGAGGACTTTTACAGGTAATTAGGTTATTAAGGGGCCTTCAGAGAGCTAACTTGTACCCTCAACCATGTGAGGACAGAGACTTCTGAAAACTAGAAAGCAGGCTCTTGTCAGATACTAGATCTATTGAAATCTTGACCTTGGACTTCTCTGCCTCCAGAACTGTGAGAAATAAATTTTTTCTGAGTATAAGCCACTCGATATATGATATTATGTTATAGCAACATGAATAAACAGAGACAGACTGCCAGAAGCAGGGTCATAATCTTGAACGTTGGGATCCCAAAAAATCATAATCCTGCAAGTCTGAGATCCCAAAAGATGATCCTGCAAATATAAGTCTAGAAAGATAATTTTAAAAACTTAAAAGCCATACACTTATAGAAACATGAAAACATGACAGAGTACTACATAGGTCACTTTTTACAAAAAAATTGGCAATAATAATATACACGTTTTTGCAAATATAAACTCTCAAGTATACAAGTCACAGTTTCACAGATATAGGAGTGGTGAGCTGATGAACCATATTCATAAACAGGTCAAAAAGCAAAATGTAGAAATGCATGTCACCATGATTGGTAACTGTGTGCACCCAGGTTTATGACTATAGTCATGTGAATACCGTAAGAGATAACCTAAATTTTGGATGAGATTGATCACTTTATATGCAGTTACCCACCAAGAGCTGAAAAAAATTTATCTTTCATAAATGTAGATGTACAAAAAGAACATCTCTTCATTTGTTGTGGAAGTTTCAGTGTTTTCACATACATGTACAAATTTTGCAAAGCTAACATTGTGATCAAGTACTTTCATGGAATTCCACTTGCAAAACATTCACAGAAAGAATTAGAATTCTCTAAAAGTCTTTACATATTTTATACTTTCACTATTGTCAATATGGGAAGATAAAATATGTAATGTAGCAGATTATAAAAATTAATGCTGATAATTTACAATAGTGGGAGAACAAAGGACATATCCAGAATATATAAAGAACTGAAGAATATCTGTAGGGAGTGGCTCAGAATAGCAGCTGCTGCCCTGCCCCTCCCACCTGAGGGCATTTTGTGTTAGCCTACATTTCCCATGATCCTCCCCTTGCCTACAATGTGCATGATGTAAGCAACTTCCCGCTTCAGCCTACATTTCCCATGATCCTCATGTCTGCCTACATTACCCATAACCCTCTCCTGCTTACTTCATATATCTGGATGTGACGATGACCTATCAGATAACACTCCGTGCCCTCTTCTGCCCCATTGGCCCGCCTTCACCCTATATAAGTTGTAGCCATTTTAAAAATAAATGAGACTTGAATGGAATCCCGCCAAGTCTCGGTCTCTCTTTTCTCTTGCCCTGCCCTTCATCCCCATCCCTTCTCCAGGTGAAGGCCCATGGACTGATTCACGGGACGGATCAAGTGGCGCCCAACCGTGGGGCAGACCTGGCACAAAGGATAACGACACGGGACCATTCATGGGAGTAAAGCGCTGGCCAGCGTGACTGTTTCGGGACTGCATTCCTGTGATCTGTGCAGACGGCCACCTTACGTCTCGCCTGAATCATGGTAAGTGAACAGAATTGGCATGGGGCAAGCACTCAGTGAGCACGGATTGTTCGTGACTGGCCTCAGGGAGGCACTTAAGACTAGAGGGATTAAGGTTAAGACAAAAGAATTGATAAAGTACTTTCAGTTTATACATTCAGTGTGTCCATGGTTCCCCCTAGAGGGTACCATTAATTTAAACAGGTGGAAAAGAGTAGGAGATGCTCTTAAAGACTATTATGAAGTTTTTGGCCCAAAAAAGATTCCCGTAACTGCTTTTTCATATTGGATTTTAATCTCTGAGCTGCTGGCACAACATCACACAGATCCCCAGGTCGTGGAGACGCTTGCCTAGGGTGAGGCTGCATTAGCTGCCTCCTGCAATTGTACTCTGCCACCACCGGACCTATCTAAGGCACCCAGCCCTCCCAGCTCTGTGGTCCTTGATATGCCGGAGCCTTTTCAAGATGGCGACATGCCGCCACTCCCTTTGTCTGGAGACAATGAGGGTACTCAAAATGGTGCGCACCACTCTGATACTCAAAATGGCGCCGCCACGCTCCCTCTTCCATACTGCCATATTTACCCTAACCTTTCCAGTTGCCAGGAAGTTGATTGGTCACAATTAGCAGAAGAGGCTGCCCAATACCATTCCCCCTGGGTTGTGGCTCCCGTTGCTGCAGAACTACCCACCGGTCTTCAGCGACTGCCCGGCCCGTCTCCTGCCCTTCTCTCATTAGAGGAACAATTTCATGATCTACAACAGCAAGTTCAGCTGACATACAGCTGAGGATATACAAAGGCTTTCCTTAGAGCTCCAAACATTGCATGCAAACCCCCCTAAAATGGCAGCCGTCACCGGTCTGCCGCTCCCTAAGATGGCGCTTATCTCAGGTTCACCATGTGGTCTGCCCACAATGATGTTCCCGGTTACAGAGACTACCTGCCCTCCCAAAACAGAGGCCTTAAGAGTAGCACATCCCTTATTGTTTCCTGTAATGGAAAATGCCCAAACTGGCGCATGTGGTGATGACTCACACGATGGCGGGGAGACAACTCAACCCACCCAAGGTGGCGCCAGTCCACAAGAGGGCGACAGTGAAACAATTAGGGAAAGGGGGAGACAAAAGAGGCCAACTAGACATGGGGATCAATCCCCAAGTCAGGAACATGGAAGGGATAAAATACAGGCCACTACTACAACAAGGGGAAATAAAAAAAGACAGCCACCACTTCTACAGAGACAAGATATAGAAACTGATAATAGCGAGGAAGAAAATGACTCTGACTCGCATGGCAGTGATACAGACACAGACCCACCGCCCCTAGCACTGAGAGCTAATAGGGCCCATACACCATTCCCAGTAACTGCCCTAAAAGAATTAAAAACAGCAGTATCCCAATATGGTCCCACAGCAGCCTTCACCCTTGCGGTCTTAGGTTCCTTAACCCAAGGCTGGATTACGCCTAATGATTGGAGGGATTTAGCCAGAACTACACTTTCAGGGGAAAACTATCTGCTCTGGAAGGTGGAATTCCAAGACCAATGTGAACTTTTAGCTAAAGACAATACTAACAGGAAAAATCATTACATTCTTCCCATGCTGATGGGAACAGGCTGATATGCTACACAACAAGCCCAAATGCGATATGAGGCAGGCCTTTTTGCTCAGATCACCCTGGCAGCAAGCAGAGCATGGCAAAGGCTCCCCTCTGGTAGAGTCGCTTCTTCCCTGACAAAAATAAAACAAAAACCCGAGGAACACTTCTCTGATTTTGTTGATCGCCTCTTACAGATAACTGAGTGTCTCTTCAGCACCGCCGAGGATAACACTGGCCTTGTTAGGCAACTGGCTTATGAAAATGCTACTCCTGCCTGCCAGGCTGCTATCAAACCCTATAGAAAAAAAGAGGATCTTTTGGGTTATATTCGCTTGTGTGCTGACATAGGCCCCGCCTACCATCAAGGCTTAGCTATGGCTACAGCTGTAAAAGAAATCTTCCTTGCACACAAGCAAGGAGGGAAAACAAATAATGGCAAATGCTTTAAATGTGATCAGACAGGCCATTTTGCCAGAGACTGCCCTGTGGCTCAAAAGTCTCAGTACAATAACTCAAGGTCAAAACCCACAAGTCTATGCCCAAAATGCAGAAGGGGATATCATTGGGTTAATGAATGCAGGTCAAAGACAGATGCAGATGGCAATCCCCTCCCCCAGCAGGGAAACGGGATTCGGGGTCAGCCCCAGACCCCCAACCTCAGACAGACCTCCGGGGCTATAAGGTTTGTCCCACAACAAAACAACCCGACACAACCCAACCTGGCACAAAACAATCCATTTTAAACCTCCTCCACACCACACCAGGAAATGCAGGATTGGACCTCTGTTCCGCCTCCAATGCAGTATTAGCTCCCGACATGGGAATACAAGCCATCCCTACCAGGATTTATGGCCCTCTTTCCAATGACACATGTGGATTAATTCTTGGACGTGGTAGTACAATCTTAAAAGGATTACAAGTTGTCCCAGGAGTCATAGACAATGACTCTACTGGTGAGATTACTGTCATGGCATCCTCTATTTCTGGCCTGGTTTCCATTGGCCAAGGACAATGTATTGCTCAATTGGTGATATTGCCTTTAGTCCAAACTTCTAATGCAGCTGTGGCTTCCTACAGGGAAAATTCTTCCCTTGGATCCTCAGATATATATTGGGCTCAATGCATTTCCAAAGATAAACCCCTTATGGCTTTATTGCTTAATGGGAAAAGTTTCTCAGGGCTCATAGATACAAGTGCTGATGTAACAGTCATTAGAAAGGAGGACTGGCCTCCCACATGGCCCTTGGAAACCACTATGACGCATTTACAAGGGATTGGACAATCCACAACATAGTGCCAGTCTACTTACCTGGAAAGATAGAGAGAACAATCAGGGGCACATACAACCCTATATTGTAGAAGGGCTACCCCTTAACTTGTGGGGCAGAGATTTGCTAACTCAAATGGGAATGATCATGGGCAGCCCCAATACTATAGTCACCAAACAAATGCTCACTCAGGGATTCCTTCCTAATCAAGGTTTAGGTAAACAGGGCTCAGGCATTAAAGTTCCTATCTCCCCAGCCCCAAACCCCTCTAAAACAGGCCTAGACCATTTTCAATAGGGGTCATTGACATTCCTGCGGCCCATCCAAAAGAGATTACCTGGTTGTCAGACAAACCTGTTTGGGTCGATCAATGGCCCCTTACCTCTGAAAAGCTTGCAGCTGCACAACAGCTGGTGCAGGACCAGTTAGATGCAGGCCACATTGTCCCTAGTGATTCCCCTTGGAACACTCCTATCTTTGTTATTCGAAAAAAGTCTGGGAAATGGAGGCTTCTACAAGACCTTAGGGCAGTAAATAAGACCATGGTCTTAATGGGACACCTACAGCCAGACCTCCCTTCACCCAGTGCCGTTCCCCTGGGATTTTTAAAAATTGTCATAGATCTTAAAGATTGCTTTTTGTCTATTCCCTTACATCCAAATGACCAAAAGCGTTTTGCCTTCAGTCTCCCATCAATTAATTTTAGAGCCCCTATGCAGAGATTTCAATGGCAAGTCTTACCACAAGGAATGGCTGACTCCCCAACGCTATGCCAGTCTTTTGTCACTGCCGCAATACAGCCAGTTAGAGATCATTGGCCAAATATATATATCTCCCATTATATGGATGATATCCTCTTGGCGGGAGAGAGTCAAGACCAGACTTTACTGTGTTACCAGGCACTACAAGCTGCCTTACAAAAGTCTGGGCTTCAAATAGCCCCTGACAAGGTCCAGCTTACTGACCCATATACATATTTGGGTTTTCAGTTATAAGGCACTCAGGTGTTTTCTCCAAAGCCTCAGCTAAGGCTTGATGGCCTTAGGACACTTAATGATTTTCAAAAGCTTCTAGGTGATATTAATTGGCTTTTACCCTATTTAAAATTGACCAAACATGACCTACAACCCCTTTAAGAGATCCTCCAAGGAGATATTGACCCAACTTCCCCTCAAGAGCTTACACCCAATGCTAGAAAAACACTCCATATAGTAGAAGAGGCTATCGCTTGACAAACTATCTCCTTCATAGATTATAATAGGCTACTACAATATCTCATTTTTAATACAAAACTTTCTCCCACGGCAGTATTTTGGCAACAAGCTCCTCTTATGTGGCTTCCTCTGCCAGTCTCCCCAAAGGGAGTATTATTGCCTTACTACCAAGCAATCTCTGACCTGATAATTCAAGGCAGAAGGCTAGAAAAATGTTATTTTGGAAAGGAGCCAGATATTATCATTCAACCCTTCACCAAAGATCAAGTGGACTGGCTACTCCAGACCACTGAGGCATGGCCTATTGCTATAGCCTCCTTCTCAGGGACCACTGATAACCATTACCCTCCAAATAAGTTAGTTGATTTTGCTGTCACCCATTTTTATTCCCCAAAATTACAGCTTCACAGCCCCTTTCTGGTGCCCCAGTGTTTTTTACTGATGGCTCCTCCTCCGGCAAGGCTGCCTATGTAGCTCAAGACAATGTTTTCACCCTCCAGACAGACACCTCTTCTGCACAGGTAGCTGAATTACAGGCCATCCTGGCAGTTTTCACCGCTTACCCCAACCAACCCTTCAATTTGTTCACCGATAGTGCCTACCTCACCCAGACTGTTCCATTACTAGAAACTGTTGCAACCATAAGCCATGCCTCCCCAGCTGCAAACCTATTCAAACAATTGCAAGACATGATTCGGCTTCACAGTTGTGTTTTTCATTGGCCACTTGCGAGCTCATTCTGGCCTCCCAGGTCCCCTTGCTCAGGGAAATCATTTGGCTGATATTGCCACACGGGCACAGGTATTCATGGCCCACTCTGGGCCTATAGATGACTCCGAGATATCTGAGGCCCAACAGGCTCATCAGCTACACCATCTCAATGCCCAGACCCTCCGCCTCCTCCACAAAATTACTCAGGAACAAGCCAGACAAATTGTAAAAAATTGCAAGTGCCCTCTTGTGCTGTTCATTTGCCTGTTCAGCATCTGGGAGTCAACCCAAGAGGTTTAATCCCAATGCCTTGTGGCAGATGGATGTCACTCATTTTAATGAATTTGGCAACCTAAAATATATACATGTAATTGTTGATACATACAGTGGTTTCATCTTCGCCACACTCCAGACTGGAGAGGCTACTAAACATATTATAGCCCATATGCTATCAGCTCTCTCAGTTCTGAGATGTCCCCAACAGCTCAAAACCAACAATGGCCCAGGCTATACTAGTACCTCTTTTGCCAAATTTTGCAAGTGCCTTAATATTCTCCACACCACGGGTATACCTTACAATCCTCAAGGACAAGGTATTGTTGAACATGCACATCGCTCCCTCAAATCTACCATAGATAAAATAAAGGGAGAAACCAGGTATCCAGCCCGAGGGTCTCCTAAAAATATTCTTTCACATGCTCTTTTTATTTTAAATTTTCTATCCCTGGATGCCTTAGGCTACTCAGCAGCATCTCGCTTCTGGCACACACAGACAGCCACACAATATGCATCTGTTCTCTGGAGAGATCCCCTGATCAACACATGGAATGGCCCAGACCCAGTCCTCATCTGGGGACGAGGCTCTGTATGCATTTATTCCAAACAGGAAAAGGGAGCTAGATGGCTCCCTGAACAGCTTATAAAACAAGTAGACAGTCCCTCATCGAGGACCCAATGTGATGCCCAGGAATAATATCTTCTCCTGAGGCACAATCCCCTGTGTTCTCTTACAGATGGTACAACTTCTCAAAACCTTATGGACCATCGTTGGACTTTTGACACAACTACATCTAATGGACAACAACCCCCATCAACCCTGGAAATGGGAGCTTAGCCACTGGAATCACCAAGAGAAGGTTTGGACTTTGGTAGGATCAGGAAGTCCATGGTTTGTGCCCACACCTGTTGGTTCTTTCTGGGGCTCCAATGTCCCAAACAAAGTCAATTTTACCTTTGTCCCACAGTAACAGAGGGAAGATCATATTGTAATTCCCCAGGAGAATATTTTTGTGCTCGTTGGGGCTGTGAAACAGTTGCACAGGGTGGCAACCAGCCTTCCCCAATAAACACCTTAAACTGACATAGGGGCCGCTGGGGTGCAGCCTAGATGACTACCCACTGGCCAATCAAAGACTCTGTCAGGTTCTTTTTTTTTTTTTTTTTTTTGTCTTTTTCGTTTTTATTGGTACCAGGGATGGAACTCACGACTGCCTGCTTGCAAGGCAGGCGCTTATGCCACTGAGCTAAATCCCCATCCCCGACTCTGTCAGGTTCTAAACGTCACTGTCACCACTCCTGAAGACCCTGGCTGGCTGACAGGACGTACCTGGGGACTTCGAGTTTATGAGTCGGCAAAGACAGGGGAAATCTTATTCTCATAAAAAAGATTCCCCTACAGATTTCACCCACGCCCATAGGCCCAAATCCTGCTCTAAAGCCAAAATATAATCCAAATCCAAAATACAATCAGTCCAATACAGATCTTGTTACTGCTGTTCAAACAAACACAGTAAGTCACCCAACCATAAGGGTTTCTCAAGCTCCGCCACACCAGGCAGATCATATACCTGCCCCTCAATATTCACATTCTAACCTATTCAGTTTGATTAAAGGGGCATACATGGCTTTAAATCATACCCAACCTGATCTCACCCAATCCTGTTGGTTATGCTTGGCTGCTCCTCCCCCATATTATGAAGGAAAGGCCCTCAATTTAACCTTTAACGGTTCTTCTAGCTCATCTGCCTGTGACTGGGGCAATCACCACAAGCTGACTCTCCCTGATGTCTCAGGTAGAGTCTTGTCTTGGGGATTGCAGCCTCAGGACTTGTCTTGGGGATTCCAGCCATCCACCAGCACTGGCAGTATGACTCTGTGCCCAGCTTCATTCGGAGTTCAAGCCAAATAATTACCTCATTCCACCCCCAGGAATGTCTTGGGCCTGCAATTTTGGCCTCTCACCCTGTATAGCAACTACTGTTTTTAACAAGTCTACAGATTTTTGTGTTCTTGTACAGGTTCTTCCTCGCATAACCTTCCACCCAGGAGACTACTACCTCCAGGCATCGCAGACCAGCTATATATTTAAGAGAGAACCTGCGACACTCACCTTAGCTGTATTACTGGGGTTAAGAGTCGCAACGGGAATAGGAACAGGGACTACGGCTCTAGTGTTGGGAAATCAGCATCTAGCTCAATTACAGGCAGCAGTAGATCAGGATTTAAAAGAAATAGAAACATCTGTGACGGCTCTACAGGCGTCCCTGATGTCTCTATCTGAGGTAGTCCTACAGAATAGAAGAGGGCTAGACCTCCTATTTATGAAGGAGGGTGGCTTATGTGCTGCCCTCAAGGAAGAGTGTTGTTTTTATGCTGACCACTCGGGAGTCATCAAAGAGTCCATGAGTAAACTAAGAGTGCGCCTCAAAGAGAGAGAAAAAGAGGGCCTCGGAGAAACCACCTTCTCCTCCATGTGGGGGGGTCTCTTCCCTTACATTGCCCCCCTCTTGGGACCCCTAGCCGCCTTGCTGTTACTGCTTACTGTAGGACCTTGTATTTTTCAGAGGATCATGATGCTCATTAATAACGTTAATAACAGGATTGACACATTTATGGCAAAGCCCATTCAGGTACATTACCACCAGTTGGAAATGGCAGAACAACAAACTTATCGGGAAAGATCACCCACCGACGGCCCACATGATACTGTGGCCCAAATGCCCTGAGGCACTGGACAGGCAGCCAGAGACGGGCAACTAGGACACATATGTAGTGCCAATCAGCCACCTAAGACAGGTCCAGGACCAACAGCTGTCCTGCAGGCCCATGATGGGTAAGGCTCGAATGGGTTCATATGAGGAGTCCTTGACCCAAGACAGGCGCTGTCCTCCCAGGGCCTGCCATGTTTCTAAAAAATATATAAAATAATAAGGGAGGAGATGTAGGGAGCGGCTCAGAATGGCAGCTGCTGCCCTGCCCCTCCCACCTGAGGGCATTTTCTGTGTCAGCCTACATTTCCCATGATCCTCCCCTTGCCTACAATGCACATGACGTAAGCAACTTCCTGCTTCAGCCTACATTTCCCATGATCCTCATGTCTGCCTACATTACCCATAATCCTCTCCTGCTTACATCATATATCCGGAAGTGACGATGACCTATCAGATAACACTCCATGCCCTCTTCCTGCCCCATTGGCCCGCCTCTACCCTATATAAGTTGTAGCCATTTTAAAAATAAATGAGACTTGAATGGAATCCCGCCAAGTCTTGGTCTCTCTTTTCTCTTGCCCTGCCCTTCATCCCCATCCCTTCTGCAGGTGAAGGCCCATGGACTGATCCGTGGGATGGATCAAATATCAAGCCCCCCAAATTCAAAGACCCTCTCCAAAAGTGGGCATTGGAGATGAGCACACATTTCTCAGATGAAGATATACAAATGGCAAATAAATACATGAAGAAATGTTCACCATCACTGGTCATTTGAGAAATGCAAATTAAAACAACGTTGAGATTCCGTCTCACTCTGGAAAGAATGGCTGCCGTCAAGAAATCAACTGATAACAAATGTTGGCGAGGCTATGGGGAAAAAGGAACACTGCTCCACTGTTGGTGGGAATGTAGACTGGTGTAACCACTATGGAAATCAGTATGGAGATTCCTTAACAAATAACGATTATAAATTCCTTTCAACCCAGCTATTCCTCTCCTGGGTATTTTGATGAATGTTTCTTTCTTTCTCTTTTTTTTTCTGTACCTGGGATTGAACTCATGACTATGCACTTGCAAGGCAGGCACTTATGCTGCTGAGCTAAATCCCCAGCCCCTTCCTGTGTGTATTTTCCTCCCAAAATTGAAAAAAATCATGTCACAGTGATACATGTATACTTATGTTCATAGCAGCACAATTTTCAATAACTAAATGTTGGAAACAACCAAAATGCCCATCAACTGCACAGTGGATGAAAAAGATGTGGCATTCTAATGGAATATTACTCAGCTATAAAAAGCACGATCTTGAGCCCTTTACAGGTAAATGGAGGCAACTTGAGACTATCCTCATAAGTGAAATAAATAAGACTCACATTAGTAAATATTATATTGTCTCTCTAGTATAAAAAATAATAAAAACAAAGAGTAAGATCAAAAATGTATAATAGATATTGCAAAAATGAAAGGGGAGAAAAGTGCTCTAAAAGATATAACTGTATGTATATTTAAATGTGTAAGATAGATGACCATATTACTAAATTTTCATTGGATCATTGAACAGAATGGTTTGCACTGTCAATATTTGAGTGTCTGTCCACTTTTTATGCTTTCATTTTGTAACTTGAACAACTATTTCTAAGAGGACAATATGTAATTTATCAACTAGTGCTTTCTTAGTGTTATTTTTTTGAAATTCTTTATTATTTCTACTCTTTTTTCTGTTTTGTCTTGTTTTTTCTTTAAATAAAATAAAATAGTGGGAAAAGAATTAAAAAAGAAGAAACCTAGGCAATTTTACATATGAAAAAGTATTTTGAGGGATAGATTATCAGCAGTTGTCCAGAGGGAGTCCTTGGAGCTAGTTGACTTTCATGATCATTAATTGTATTTTTTAAATTAAAAAAAATTTTTTTGGTACCAAGAATTGAAATCATGACCTCATGCTTGCAAGGAAGGTGCTGTGCTGCTGAGCTATATCCCCAGTCCCTACTAACTGTATTTTGAAATTGTGCACCGTGGTGAATAGCTGCTTTTTTTTCCTTCTGCAGTCTGACTTTTCACATCATATTATATATATTCACATCATATTCTACAGGATGGATCTTCCCTAGCTAGTCCACTCTGTCAGACACCAAGCTCTTCTGGAAACAGCTTCACAGAGACACCCATAATAACTCTTCACCAGATCTTTAGAAATTCGCTCCATTTAATACGATGCAATTACCCTGCATATAGCCAAATACATACTAATCTCTTCCTGAGAGTTCAGCTTTCTACCCATTTTGTAGCCTTGTCATTTTATAGCCTACTAGCTAGCTGTCTGCAGTGCTAGCAATCCAACCCAGGGCCTCACGTATGCTGGGTGAGCTACATCCCCAGCCCCTACCCTTTTATTTCAGTAGGAAATGTGGCTTTGGGGATTTGGGTTTTCAGGATTTTAACATTCAGAATTTCAATCACTTAAGACTGTGATTTGGGAGCTTGTAGATTTTAGGAATTTTGATCCTTCAAAATTTCATCATTGGAGATTACAGTATTCAGGGTTGTAACTCTGGGATTATGGATGGTACTCAAGAAACAAATGATCACCTAGGCTCTGGACAGTGAAGGAAAAAGAGAACCTGAAGGAGTGTAGACCCCCAGAGCTGCAAAGAGGGGCCACTACTGGCTGGTGTTCCAACAGATCCCCTAAGGGTCTGCCTGTCTAAGGAGCGGTGCCCCTGTCCCCCAGGGTTGAGATTGCTGAGAAAGGACACATCATGGCTGGTGCTTAGATCTCACAGCAAACAACCCCCAGCAAATGCTCAGACCTTGAAGGTCACTGCTGTACACTAGCAAAAAGAGCTTCGTTATTGCTCATTATATGTTTGTGTTATGCCAAAGTACCTGTAACGCTGCCTACTGTTCTGTATGCGTTTCCCGCCCCCTCTCTGGGTGACCTAATTGATATGTTAATCAATGCTCTCCTCTGTAAAGAATTGTGAATCCCTGGGAACCTAACCTAATTGATATGTTAACCATCGTTGCCCTCTACAAATAACAGATGTGGTGCTAAAATAAGCTGACAAAAGGTTGTTAATTACTGCTAGACTTCTCTGTTCTCTGCTAAGGAAAATATTTCCTTAGCAGATTTCCTGATCCAGGCCTCTAACCCCTTACTTTGTAAACTGTGTACATAAAGGCTGCAAGTATGGAAGAGCGACACACAGGTTTTGCAAATTCCAACTGTACTGTGTTGCTGGGCCCACGATAAAATAAATCAGCGCTGCTTTTTTAAAATACGTTTTTGCCCCATTTTTTGAACTCAAGTTCGGGGATTACAAGAGTCATGGGGAGTTTGTTTGTGGATTACAAGAGTCATGTTGCCAGATTCAACACACACAGATGCATACACACACACCCAACCATCTCCCTTACCATCACACCTTACCATCACCATCACCAATAAAATTATATTAAACTAGAACACAAGAACAACAAAAAGAAATCATTAAATTTGAATTATTTCTAACTGCCTCTCCAATATCCACATCAAAATAAATTAAAAATATCATGTAGGATATGCCTACATTAATTGAAATAAGTACATAAATTATCTACTTCTTTTTTTAAATTATACTTCCCTGATAACTTGACTCTCTTTAATGTTTCCAGTCTTGTAGAATTTGCTTATCAGATCCCTTACATTTGCAGATTGCATTTTATCTATATTGTAATGGTTTATACAGTGGTCACAATCAACACATTCTATTCTTCCATCCACTGATCACTCAACAATGAGAAAACTCATTCAATAAAAGTACTATGTTGGTATGCTGGATGCTGATTGGCTCTATTTTAGTTGGGGCTTTCTATGATTGGCTAACTTTTAAGAGTGTGGTTATTGCAGAGAGGGTTTCACCAAATGGTTGGTTTTCAAAACATACTACCCCTAATTAATGGTGGTTACTTGTCTATGACATGAGACTTTGACCAAATGAAGAATAATCTTATCCTTTCTGGGAATATGGAGAAGCAGGGGTATTCATCCTCAGTTCTCTCTTTTTGTTTATTCTTAGTCAAACCTGCAAGAAAGACTATGTGGAATAGTCTATAACTTTTATTTTTGTAGTTATTCTTTTGTGCTACGTTACACTTAAATAACCATATTTTAACTATTTCTGTAAAAAATAGCTCTAACAGAAAATATTTTATAGTTTATTCAAAGAAGGCTGAATACAGGGCCTTGGGACACACTGACGAAGTCATATGGATAGGGACACAGTTATCAAGTGCAGGATGCAAAGGACCTGTGACACACACCCTCCGAGTGGGTGCCTCCTGGTGGTAATCAGGTATTTAATGTAGGGCAGCCTGACAGCTGGAGATTCAGAATGGGGATTCAGAGCACCTAATGACCTCTGGAGAGAACCTAGAAACCCAGAAATCAGCAAGAAGATCCCTGCTCTGCCCTCTCCACCACCCTGGCTCCTACGTTCCAATCTCATGCCAGTAACTCCATTGGCAGGAACAGAAACTTAGCTAGCAAAAGCATTAGGGAATAGCAGTTTTCAGCCTTATAGGCTTCCTGTCACTGAGGGTAGGTCCAAACCAAAGGTAGGTCCAAATCAAGAGATGAACTGATGAATTGTCCTCCTCTTCAGGCTGCTTTGGTGTCGGTCAATGGAGGGCATGTTCTCAGAACTCAGGTCAGGGACACCATGGTGAACATGGACCCTGACTTTGCATTGGGTAGTTCCCATGGTACCACATTCCTCTAATTATTCAGTGTTTCCAACAAGCTCATGAAAAAGTAAAAACCATCACTGGTTAACCCACAGCTCACATTATCTTTTTGAGGGGGAGTACTTGGGGTAGAACTTAGGACCTAGCACTTGCCAGGTAGGTGCTACACTGCTGAGCTATATCCCAGCCCCTGGAGTTTGTCTATCTTATGATGAGATCAAACCATTTCTTGTAATATATGTTAAATTATTCCCACTCCCCATTTTTCATTTCCTTTCATTCGGGCTATTAGAATAGCTTTTTAAATCAATTTCCTTCAATCACAGGCTTCTACTTGGCTTGTTTTAAAAGTATATACATATGTAGCTTATAAATCTTCCTATGACAATACTTTCATTTTGTTTCTTGCTTTTAAAATATTCAACTACAGTGTTTTGTTAATCATTGAATATTCTTGAGCCTTCTTTTTTATTTTAAAGAGGATAAAAAAAGGAAAATAAAATAGAATAAAACCAACTTTTAAAAACTCAATGTAAGTGATACAGGACTTCAAAACCTTATGAAATCACCAATAGTTACCATAATCCCTTTTGTTGTCTTCAAAATAGCTGCAGATATCTCAGACATAGTAAAAATCGAACAGAACAGCATGGAATAGAAACAATAAAAACAAAACATTGAACCCAAGAGAGGACTTCAAAATAAGCTAAATAGTAAATCCAAGGTGGCTACCACAATATGTCCTGCTATCTTTCAAATAGCTGCTTATGCCCTCGGATTTAACATAATCCCACAAAACAAAGAGAATAAAACCCAACCCG